ATAGCTCATTTAGCAACCGGAAATTCTTGATACTTCCTCGTTATATATATATTATTTTTCATTTGAAAGAACATGCCTGGTTGCAGTATCTGGAGGAGTGCTTTTTTTTAATTCATATTTTTTATGCGGAAGAAAAGATGACAAGTTAAAGACCTGGAAAAGCTCTGAAAATGGTCATCTATTTATAGAAGTACTTTTTGTATATAATAATAATAAAACTAAATAAAAAATAAATGAGCTCGATATGACAGTGCAATTTTTTCATACTCTTTTCAACAAAGCAAAGCAATTGACTATAATGAAGTTCTTTCAATAATTCTGGAATGCGATATTAGAAAATGTGCAAAAGCAACACCGAAATGATATGTCAGTTTATTCAAAAAAATCAAGCAGAAGGTGATAAAAATCACTGAAAGTTTAAAACCACGACGGACCGAATAAAAGATCATATTGCTTGTGACAGGTCTGCTTTCACCCTATTCTCCCGTGTATTTATCTTAATTTCAATTCATCCAACGAAAACGGATTTCTTTAGAGGGAAGAGGAGCGTATTAAACCGATATTAAATATCAGTAAAAACAAAATTCTTCTCAACTGATATAGACGATTTTATGTATTTATTCGTTTAAAAGGAAAGCGACTTTTTATAGAGCAATCAAATGTAATAAATAATTCTTTAGAATTCTAATCTTAACAATAATAATCATATAATATTCATGATAGTAACATATCTCGAAAGGAATCAGAAATTCTATATATTCATTTTCAAATCTTCAACATATACACGGTAGTCCAAAGCTACCTGATAGTCCTTGATTATGAATAACTTTTGACAGAAACAATATAGACAGTTGCGGCATCCACTCTTTCGAAAGAAGCTGTTTCACTGCATGGTTTCATGTCTAATCCAACAATATCGGTTGATAATTAGGATGCTAGTCAGTAGGCTTCAGAAAAATACTAACGGTTCTATGAAGATAACAAAGAAGTTTGATCCGAAAAATCTTATCATGGTCCGTTTAAGCATTATAAGTGCAATACAAGACGACAAGAGTGCGAATGTCGCGCATTGTATAGAGTTGAGCTTCTTTGTCATCTTCATAAGGCTATCAGCATTTTTCTGAAGCCCACTAACTGGTATTTCAGTCATCAACCGACATCGTTGAATCATGCATGAAACCATACAATGACACAACCTCTTTCAAAAGGATGAAAGCCTCAACTCTCTATTCTATTTCTATCAAAAGTTATTTATTAACAAAGATTACCGAGTGATGTAGTAGTTTATTCACACAGATTTCATTTGAATTCTTAAATCAAGCGTTCGTGATTCTCTAATGTAGATGAAACTAACTGGTTTGTTTTTTTAATTGGCTTCGTTTATATCTAACTAAGAAAAAAAATGTATACGTACCATTTTTAAATGCTAATATTTCAAAAACGGTATGTATAATTGACACAACGATAGTGATCACAAGTAAATATGGATTAGTTTCGACAAGTGCACGCTAGGAAAAAAACAAAACCAATATCTACAAACAAACAAAACTTCTTTTTTTTTTCTTCTTTTTACTTTCATTGCATCTTGATCATCATCATTTTCTTCTTCGCCAAGTAAATTTCCATACCATGATTGACGTAAATTTTGTGATATATACATTTGCCATTTCCATAATTGTATTGGAGCAACAGTAATCGTCACATTAAGATTACTAAAATTCAATTCAATTTATAAGAAATAATTAAAAACAAAGTAAATTATATTTTATTACTCGATTGTATTATTTACTGGATAATAATCAGTAAGAAGATTCCAATAATCATTTAAATAAAGTACTGGATAATATTTTCCCGTATATATATCAAAATCAAAAACTAAATTAAATAACGAAATTGTAAAAATCATGATGAGATATTTTTAAAAAAAAGAGAAGAACATCTATAATAAATTATGTAACAGAAATATGCATAATTTCGACTATCTTCCAATTACGAACAAAAAAAACATAAAGCCAAATTAGCAAAAAAAAGTATTTGCAATTGAAAATGCAGAAATTTATGTTGATCTAATTTATTTTTGTAATTCCCAATTGCGAACAATTTCCTTGTAATATTTCATTACAAGTTCTGTTCTATTGAGGAATATAAATCAAGGAGCATAAAGATAAAAATCATATTGTATTTTAAACTATGAACATAAACTTTATTGAGTCAACAATTTTGAAAAAGCCATTATATATAATAATTATCTGTAGTTGAATATGTGTCAGGATGAAACAAAGAATTGAGGGAATACTCATATTCATAATTAGGAGAATGTCTGATTTTTCTTTCAACGAGGAAATGTCCTCAGGTGTTTCCTTCCGTTTTCAATTTTCTTTTTTACATATAGATATTACATAGTGTTCTAATAAAAACTCTATAAGGACTTGAGCTTCGATTGAGAATTGAATAAGTTATCGAATCTTAAATATAACTTTTTGCGAGAGACACGAGATCTTCGGAAATCTCTTATTTTCAAGTTTTGATCTGAAACTTTGTATACATAGAGAACTCATCTAAACTATCTTCCATAAAAGAATTCAGAAGTTGTGAATGAAGTCTTTTTCAAAATATAAGACTTTCAAGATAGAGATTCTTTTCATAGATAGTGTATATAACATGCATTTTTTAAAGCTTTATATTTTGAAGAGATTTTGTTGAAAATCTCTACGTTTTTTGTGGAAGATGGTCAAGGTGAGTTCTCCATATGAACAAAGTTTCGAGTCGAAATTCGAAAACCTGAAGTCTAGAACATAGACATATAAAAAAATCGACAGTTTAGTCAAATATCAATAAAAATCTTTTTTACAACTTTAATGAACCTTTCTAGACTTATAACATCGTATATTTAGCTCATATTTCTTTATATATAAATGATAGAAATTTGAATATTTTTCTTAAAAGATGTGCCATCGAATTCTCTGTAAAAAAAATAGAGGGAAAAACCTTTTCAGTTCTTCACATAATATTCTATAAGCCTTAAGGTAATTATTTGCCTAATAGCATTTTCCAATATACAAAGAATAAAAAAAGATTTATTGTCACGTACCAAAATAATAGCCTATGGATTAATCAGCAGCGGCAGTTCAGCCGATCAACTTACACCTCTAATTACGTTATTATAAAAAATTACATCATCGTGCAAGTCTATTTTATAGATTATTCATTCAATATCTTAGCTTTTCTTCAAAAAAAAAAGACACAATCGGCATTGTCCTATACTTAAAGTCAATTAGTAAATTTATAATCTATTCAATTGTTTACGAAAAGTTCATTCTCTTTCTGATAGTGAAATTATCGCACATTATTTACATGTCTTTTATGAAAAAACAAAAGTTCTCCTCAAATATCATTCAAATTCTACTTATTACTCACCCATAAAAATGTACTGGACTGATTTTAATCAATAAAAAACATTTCTTTAATCCCCTTGAACTTTACATGACATTAGAAATATGCATCGCAAACGTCTCGTTTCCTTCTCTTTTTTTTATGTTGAAAAATTTAAATAATTAAAAAGAAAAGTCTATGAATTTACATTTATCCATTGGTGGTGGTATACTGCCTTTTGTCCATGGTGATTGATCATCAAGTAAATTAATTGTCATATTTGGATGCCAATGTGATAAAAGTTCAACAATTTTATCATCGGCTTTCTAAAATAAAAATTAGTTACACCTAAAAAATGAAATTAGGTTTTTTTTGCTCGTCAAACCTTTTGATATTCTTCATCTTGTTCTGTATTTCCAGTTAAAAGATTTTTTGTTTTCTTATAAACTTTTTTTTTATATCGATTTAAACCTAAAAATAAAAATAACATAATGATTTATTAAATAATCAATTATTTATTAACATACGTTTGGTTTTTGAAAAAACATATTGTGCTGAATGAGATTCACGTTCATCAGGATCAATTGAATATCCATGTTTAGTTACAACAACATGTAAATAAACTGATCCATTATTTTGTATATTCTATTTATTACAAGTATTCAAAATTTCTATTTATTCTTTTATAATAGATCATACTTTTGAAGCAGGAAATTCAATAAATTTTGTATAAGTACCACTTGCTGTCCAATCTCCATATTTTAAAGCATCTATTTCCCAAATTGGTTTTCTTAATGGATCATATATATAATCTTCTTCTTCATTAATAAACATATACATATCCTAAATGAAAAATTTGCAAAAAAAAAAGTTTTTTTCTTTAAAAGCTTATTATTACAAGTAAATCTCCATGCGCAAAAAGATTTCCTGGTGTATAACCACTATTAACATTTACGGGTATCGTAGCATTTCCTGGTGTATTATTTGTTGGTGAACGACGAAAAAATTGTGTTATAAAATAAAACATTAACATTCGAAAAGCAAATGATTTAAATATTTCCCATGGTGATTGACGTGGTCGAGCTGGAGGATTATTATTATTATTATTACCATTATTTTCCGGATTAGCTGGAGTAACGCTATTCTGTTGTTGTTGTTGTTGTTCATCCTGAAACAAAGAAAAATTATTTCAATATAATAAAATATTAAATAGAAACAAAAAGAATATATACAGCATTTTCTTCTTCTGCTTCTCTTGCTTCATTTTGATTTGTATTCGACATGATCTAAAAAAAAACAAAGAAATAGTATAACGATAATTTTTTTTTGTGTTTTTTGAGTAATTTAGACTTCTTGTAGCCATACTGTAAAATTATTTAATCGCATCAGTTTTATCGACCTCCAAATAATATCGAATAGAAAACAGAAAAAAATTTAGTTTTCTAAAAAAATCTTTTTTATTAAATAAAAAGGATTTATTCATGTAAAAAAGTTTTTATTGTTATTTTTATAAAACTTTTTATTGATTGTAGCGCTTTTTATATTGATTGGTTATTGAGAAACAGCTGCAAATGATTCACGGAATATAGGAATTCTTAATTTTTGTTTAATTAGTTAGTATAATAATTATGTGGAAAGTTCTAATTTTTTGTTTATTTATTAAATTAATCAATGGAAATTATAGTGATCCAATATATCCAGTATTAAATCCTTGTTTAGCTATACTTAATCGTTTATCGGATATGGCATCTGCATTTCTTAATTGTGCTGTTAGTCGAGCACGACCATTTAAATTATGTGAAGGATGTGTTGATAATTTTGCACGATTACAAGATCTCATTCGTTTATTAGATATAGTTTGTATTGTGATTTAGTCTTTATTTTCATGATGAAAATATTTTATGTAGACCTATTCTGATGTGGATAAAGCGATAACATGTAAACGATTTCTTGAAAGTTATGATACAATACAAATTGTTGCTCAACTTATTTCATTTGTACAAAATATTTGGATATCATCATATTGTGATAGTAAGTTCAAAAAAAAAATGAGAATATTTGTTCTTACGAATATGTAATAAATTGATCTAATGATATTAGAATTTTTCAAAAAGTTATTCAAGTCAATATTTTACAGGACTCGGATTCATCATTTGAATTATGTATTATTTTTAGTTCTGAGTGGAATGTCTTATATACGAGCGAAAAGAATTTCACCGGTCTAGATATTATCCAATAAATTTTGGAATACTATATTTTATGAGTTCGGTACTTATTTTTCATCCAAAAACTTATCTTTTGAAATAATTTGTTAAGAGATTTGTGAAAGAATATATATGAAAAAAAATTTATCTTCTTGATTATGTCAATACTACTAGACGATTTTCTATGTTATTTGATACAAGCAGCTCGTATTCAATTGGTAAAGATTTCGATTTTATTATTCCTTATACAGACTAAACATACTCTGAAACAATTAGCTTCATAAATCCTTTTTCAAAATTCTCAGTAATGAAACAAATTTTTGTTTAGATTGTATCACAAATTATAAAGACACTAATGGTACAATTGATTATAGTCTTACTAATCACACAGTGAAATTCATTCAGAAAAAGTTGAATTTTGATTTTTGTCTATTTAACGCTACCGGTGTAAGTATCTTTTACTTTAATAAAAAAAAAAGAACGTATTTTTACTTTCTTTTCTTCTTATTATCTATAGCGTATGGTTCCACTAATTCCAATTGATCTTAATGTTACATTGAATACAAATGTATGTACAGTGTGTTTAGCAACCTACAATGATATAAATGATTTCTTTTTACAAGTGGCACGAGACAACAAAAATGGTGTTTGTATGGATATTGTTGATACAGTAAATGAAAATCATATATCTTATTCTATATATTTTTCTACCTTTGTTTTTGTCTCAAGATGAATTATACGCGATTATTATGGAGTAAAATATATGAATGTAAACGTCATGATCCAGATTATATGGCCATTATTGGAATATCATTTTTTATACCAACAATTGTTTGTGTTTTTTATGTCACTGCTTTATTCAAAGGTATGATTTTTCAATTCAGACAGAATTCAATGAAATGAACAAAATACATTGTACTCATCAGAATAATGAATGTAGGATGTCGATTGAAAGTTTCCTTCTGATTAATAATTATGACTTATATTAAAATCTTTTTCAATTAACAGAATGTCTTTTTTTGTCTAGGTGAACGAAAACAAAAGAAATTATCACGACGTAAGTCAAAAAAAAAAATCTTGTTTCATATTTTTCTAATTTAATCTAAATATGTTTTATTTTTGTTCAGAAAAACGTCTTCCGCCACATTCCACAACTGCTGCAATAGTCGGTGCAAGAAGATGGTTATGGTCAAATCCAAACGAATGAAAACATTTCTTTCTTTTTTGCTCTATTTTTATATTGATTTTTTGTTATAATTTAAACGAACAGGCATTTGTGAAATATATACAATAAATTTTTACATCTACTATGAAGAGAATTATTTAAGCTTCACAAAAAAAATACATATATATATATTGCTGGATTAATTCTATTAGTGGCACTTGTATTTCTATCCGTAACAGTATATGACACAACTAGGTATCATCCATTAAAAACTTCCCGGTAAAGGGAAAGGTACGTCAAACATTTCTGAATGTCAAGACACTTACAATAAATATTTTCTTTTTTTCCACACCATTTTCGGCATAGAAATAGTTGGCATTACAGCTTTCGGTATTTGACAAAGGTCAGATTACTATATCAAATCATGTCAAAATCAAACAATCAAGCATTGATCATTGTTGAAACAATGCCCCTAAAAATTTGCTCATTACATGTTGACTTTCAAAATAGTTATTTGATAGAGTAAATCAATACCTCTTGATCTACGGAAGGACGACGTCTCTAGATGGTTTCGTTGTTGTGTTATCAGTATTCTTCTGAGATGTTCAAAATTGGCCAACTGACCACTGATCAGCTTGACATGAGATGATATAGAAAATTTTGACTAAGTTAAAACGGATGTTGGTGTTTGTTTTATTTTTTAAAGCAGCATGATCAAAAATTTCTATATCATCTCGTTTCAGACTAATCAGTAGTTAGTTAGCCGATTTCGAGAGTTGAAGAAGAATACTTATAATATTGTAACAGAACCATCTAGAGAGATCGGTCTTGCATAGACCGAGCGGTCTTGATTGTCTCTATCAAATAACTACTTTGAAAGTTCATATGTAATGAGAAAAATTTAAAGGGCATCATTTCGACAATAATTACTGATAACTGACTACTGCATCATTATTTGATTTCGTACATGTTTTGATAACATTATCTGATCTATTTCATATACTGCAAACCGCAGTGCCGCGCTATTTTCATGCTCGAGTTATCACGATACAGTTGAGTCCATTAACTTTTGGAATGAATAATAGTACAAGCTTGAATATTATTTGTTAATAGATCATTTCATATTTCATCAACTGTATTCTCTAGTGAAACATATTTAGAACTGAATCATATTAATGCCCAAATTATAGTACTTATTTTAACGGTACTGAACGAGTTTGAAAGAAGAATTCAACCGTAATAAATGAACTAGGAAATACGGTCGATGAAGTAAAGAATGATCTATTTAAAAAAAAACTCAGACACTATATTAGTACTTTGTATCTTCGTTTTCTAATTTTATTATAAGCGTCTACTCTTGTACCGTTGTTGATACATGCCAACGGCAATATTTTCTAATCATAAAATCTATATTTTATGATTAAAAAATACGATTCGCAATCATTTTGTCATCGGTATTAAACTTCATTTTTTGTTTTTATTATTTTATGATCATTAAAATCGAATATATTGCAAAAAATAAAAGCTTTGCTTGTTGTCTGTAAAATGAGTGCTTTGTTTTTTTTTTACATTCATTTATGTACTTAACCCTTTCCGGCCGGATGTTGCCATTTGGCAACATTTAGTCAATATTTCTAGGATAGTTTGCTTAGAGTAAAGATATAAAACTTTTTAACTATTCGATAATTATTGCAGTACATTTCAGGATACACTCACGGTTTCTAATACAAAAAGGAACTTTCCGTTGGGATCATAGCCGAATTTATCTACAATATCCCATAGAAGCCATTCAACCGTAAAATACATTTTCCTGCAGATTGACTGATTCAATACTAGAAGTCATTAGCTGTAAATTTTGCTGCTTAGATCTATTGCATATTGCATTGATAAAAAGGATTGTTCAGTAAATCCGAACAATGAAAATGATAGATGTTGCCATTTGGCAACAGCCGGCCNGAATCGGAACTGATGATTCTGATTCTGATCCCAAAAACATTTCATATTGCCGATTCCGATGCCCAATAAAGTCAACTTTGCCAACCGCTAGCGTGTACACGTATATGTGCGCTTTTTTAAGCTTGATGATAGAAATACAAGATAACATCGACATTTTTTCCGTCCATTTATTTTATCATTTTTTTCGCGCATTTTTTTCTGATAATTTGTACGATAAAAAGGTTCATCCGGTCTTATGAATATCAGTCTTCACTTCACAGTTTAGCCAACTCATGAGTGATTTTTTTAAACAATTTATGTTGTCAAAATTCACGTTTCTAAAATTTGTATTAATCCGCGGGTAACCCGCGGGTCCAAAGAAAAATTATTTAACCCGTGAGACGGGCCGGGTTCGATCACGAACGGGTCGGGTCAAAAAAAACCTGTCATGAACATCTCTGTTCGAAACATATACTATCTAATGATATAAATAACTTTTTTTTATAATCCTCAAGGAAACTGAAAACCTAGTTGCACAAATTAGCCTGAAAATCATGATGTCACTGAGAAAATTCATATCTGACAAAATAAACCTGTCCCATAAACAAATCAATTGTATATTATCTGAATCTTCGACTCGAGCTCTATAAAAAAGAGTCATAATATTTTTTTCTAGTATCGCCCGAAAGGCTAGTCGTCTAAAATGAGCAATCCTCTCATGTTCAAGTTTCAAACTTTGCCGAACTTTGCCAGAATGTTTTTCTATCTACTGTCTCCAATCTCTGTTAGCGCAAATATTTCTGGACTGTACAATGAACGTCTGAAAAACCTAAGTTTTTCAGGTATTCTTCAGTTATTTTGACTTTGGAAAAACATTTAGTTCAGAAAAGTGATATACTCAGAATGAGCGCATTAAAGTGCTTCAAATAATATATAAAACAAGATGATTTCGAAGAAAAAATTCTTTCGACAAAAATAAGAGCAAGGATCTTCCTTCAGCATTTTTTGTCGAAAAACTTTGTTTCTCAAAATGTTTTCTTAAAAATGTTATTCTACGTCATACCAATTATTGTTGAGCAGAAGAACCCGTTTTCCAGCAAACAGTCATATATCTGCCTGTCATGCGAAAAATACACACTGTGCCACTGTTGTTTTATGAAAACATATCCTATAATCTTTATAATTCCTTCTTCCACCAACAGTTGCTAGAGCCTATGCAAGGAGTTGCGCAATCCTCAATGTAAACCTATACTCACTATTTTCTTTGATAATGTGTGAGTTTCACAAAATCTTGGAAAGCACCTTGCTAGTCCCAGGAGCAAAACTAAAAAATCAGGATTCTCCTGGGCAAATTAGGAGATTTGGTAATCATGTTCTAATCTTCACTATTTCTCGATCTTAATTTTATTTTTAATTATAAACTTTCTTATTCATATTTAGGTATATTTGGACAATCATTGGAAGATACTTATAGATATTCTCGAGATAAAAGTTCATTTGTACCTTTAATTGTCCGGCAATGTTGTGAATATTTACTTGAACATGGTTTAACATTTGTTGGTTTGTTTAGGTAGTATAAAAAAAAAAAAGTAGACAAACTTCCTAATGTAACAAAAAAATCTCTTCTTATATTTAATTAGAGTGCCTGGTAAACAATCTACAATAAAAGAATTGCGTGATATGTATGATCGTGGTTTATCAGTTGAATTAAAAAATTCTTATTCTCCTGCAACAATATCTTCATTATTAAAAACCTATTTACAATCATTACCTGAACCAATCATTCCAATAAAATGTTTTGATGAATTTCTTGAAATAGGTTCACGTTTCAAATATAATCAAACAAATGATTTAAATCGTTTAAAACAATTAATAGAAACAAATCTTACACATATAAATCATGCTATTTTAGCATATTTATGTATATTTCTCAAAAAAATAACTGATCATGCTCAAACAACTAAAATGGATACTGATAATTTAGCTGTTGTTTTCGGAAACAATCTTATTCGACCAGCAGATGATCTTGATCTTAATATGGTTAAAGGGCATAGGTAAAAATTTTTGTTTAACAAAAAAGTGTAAAAAAAAATTTAATTTTAATTTTTAGTTTTAATTTATTACCATTAATTAAAGTATTAATCGATCATAGTGAATATCTCTTTTCGGTAGATTGTTATTTTGTGTATAGAAATTATTTATTTAATTTTAATATAGAATAGTTCAATAAATCAATTTCATGATTCGTATGAACAAACAAATGAATCAATAACAAAATCAAGTGGATTTTCATCATTTTCATCATTATTATCATCCAATGATCATTTCATACCAGTAAAACCTCGTTCATTATCAATGCCATCATTATATAAAGGAACATTTTCATCATTTGATAGTGCAAATATAAGTTTAGAAAGTCAATTGGAATTTGATGATATTAAACAACAACGAAAATTATCTACTGAGCAACAATTGTGTCTTACATCTGATCATATTAATAATCATCAATCATCTTTAGAAACAAATCAAATTAATTGTGCAACAGTTCAAAATAAAATAAATTTTTTTGAAAATAGATCAAATACTCAACAAAAAAGATTTGCTAGTACAGATTTACTCGATACAGATGATAATGTTCAAGAACGACTTAAACATAATCCAAGATCAATCAATAATATGTTAACTCAACAAAAACAAACAAACGGTAAATAGGCAAAGATTTAACTTGAATTCTTCTATTTTTATCCTATCATGATCATTTATGCACAGGTTTTTATATACTTAATATTTCGTTTTCGATATGACATCGCTCGTGTAGAATCCTGTCGGATAATCTTTTTTTGGGTCTCAAATCCCGTCCTTAATGTGGTTTTGAAACTGTCGCATTTGTCCCAGTCCTTTTTATTTTCAAAATATTTCGTACCGAAAATTCTCAGGATAATCTCAAATGTTCTGCGAGACGGTACTAACGTGATTTTTCGACAATTCGGGACTATTTCGAAGGATTTTACTGAAGTATTTATCTCGTGCATTGCCAACTCAAGACACTAATAGGAAAGAAACAAGAGAGACTATTAGAGTGTAGCAATGAAGAAAAAAGAGTTTTATTATTTAACAAACATGACGAAGATCCAAGCCGTCTGTAAATATACATCTGTTACGAGAAATATATAAAATGTATATTTCTTCTTATTAGAGTTATAACGGGTCAATGAAGCATGTTTAAGTGTCACATTTTATCGAGTTGTATGAAACTCAGTGGAAATAAAAGTTGATGTGTATATTCTAATACGTGAAAAAACCGAAGATAGAACTTTTTTTTAAATGTACTGTTCCTGAAACAGTATTGCCGCATGGCGAGTTTTCATGATGTTAAATATTGCTATGAATTATATTTCATTAATTTGTGTTTAACTTTGCATTGAAAATACTATGAAGATCCGACAGAATTACGAGACCTACAGATCACACAAAATATATCCGAACACCTGACTGTAGTTTTTTCTATTGTTTCATTGTTTTATCTAGTGTGAGGATCGAGAAGACGGCGCCTCTCCGAAAATCGATTTGGCCCATCTGGTGTTTATGTATTATACCATGTATTATATTTCTGTGTTCCCAAAAAATAGGTGTTCGCCCTTCTGGAAGAGAAAATTTGAATAAAACACTGTATTGGTTGATTTGTACGATAATGATAAGAAATTAATTTCCTTCCGTCACAAAGGATCCAACCTTCTTTTGTTTTCATATGAAAAAGAGTTTAAATTGACGGCTATCAAATATCAACGAGAGAATATGTTTGTTCTCTGTCTAAGAAGAAATTTCAATATTTGCACGTTTATTATACAAAAAGAAAAATATAAAAGAAAGAATCAATAAGTGTTTGGATACTGTTTGAAATACTTGCAATTGCATTGTAAGACGATGTACTTGAGAGCTGTTGTTAGTTTATTCTGCTAACTGCTCATTGTAAAAATAAAAGTTTACATGGAATAATTTAAACAGTAATTAAACGAGACTATTGGCAGGTCTTCTACGGGAATGACATATCTCAATCCCCGTTTCCTGTACTTGTAAAAAGATTTTGTTTTTTTTTGCTCCTGTTCGCATAAACATTTACAGTTTCAATTACGGTTTCTTTTTCTTTTTCACATTTGTGGAAATTCATCATTACCATAAACTAGCTAGGTATAAAATTACCTTGTGCATTATATGATCAAAGATACGCTTAACTAAATTAATAAAAATAAAAAAGTTGTTGTTTAAATATATCTTTATGTATTTGAAAATAAGACAAACATGTGAATATTTAATATTGTTCCCCTTTCCATTCTCAGTGAAAGTGTGAAGAAAATAAAACATTGCCGCAGTCTACTAAGATTTACTCATAGAGAAGAATAGTTGGTTCTGTCGTAGTTCAGAGGTACCTAGTACAAATAGACGTTTTCTTCATAGGCTATTACGTGTTCAACAAACACTAAAACCTGTAACTTATTTGAGTATTATTCGTCTGTACTAGATACCATGAACTTTATGCTAGTAGTAATCATCAGAACTTCCTAGTTTACCCATAGAAGTTTTTCTATATGTATTATGTATCATTAGTACCATAATACAATTGTTTTTAAACTTGAGCCCTTCGTTGACATGTCAATTTTACACTCAAAAAGGTACGAACTTTTCGAAGGCTGATAGAAAAACAAAAATGCAGATTCGTATTTTACAAAGCTTAGTCGAATAGTGTCCTTATGCAATATTTATTTTCCTGGCTTACATATATCTTAATTCTTGAGACAACATTTTATCAGAAAATGAGTTATGATCTTACAAATGAAATCCTTCGCGAATCAAAAAAAGTGCCCATTAAACACAACACCTTTTCTCAGAAAGAAATGCTCTTATCCAAGTAATTTTCTCTGAAGATCTCTTTCACTACTTTAAATTTATTTACTTCATAATTGTATCCCATATGAAATCTTTCTTATTTTTTCGTTAATTATGAATTTTTATTTCTGTTTTGCTGTTACTGTTCAGAATATTTGTAAAATATAATTTCTTTAGATAATGCACGACGTCCAGTATCAGCTATGAATGTTGAAATGCCGATTCGTAAAATGGAAAAAATTCCATCTAAAAAAAGTTTTGCTAATAAATTTGGTAAATCAATTTCAAATTTAAAATCAACTGTGTCAAAAGCATTACAACCTCATTCATCATTAAACGAAAATGAATCTCCAACAATTGACTTATCATCATCTCCAATGAATCAACAAATCCAAAGAAAATCTTTAGATAATCAACTAACAAATAATAATTTATTAAAAAAATTACAAAATGATATTGATATATTAAAAGAATCATTGGATAAAAAAGAATTATTAATTATTGAATTAACAAAAAAATATCGTGAAGAATATAACAAATTTGATGAAGAAAAATTTCAATTAAATCAAATAATTGAACATTTACAAAATGAAAATATTCAATTAAGAAAGCAGTTAAATATGCAATAAATAAAAAACAAAAGCAAAAATTAAAAACAATATTTCTGTTTTTCTTTCCTTCTTTTTGTGATACGTCTTCTTCCAAAATCCCTTTGTATATTTTTTATTTGACAAAATTTTAATCTATAAATATTTTTTTTCTTTCTTTTTGTGCAATTTTAATGTGATTCTTTTTATGCGCTATATTTTTTCTTTAGATAAAATAAAATGTCAACAGATGATTTAAAATTCGATAGAAATGATAGTCAATCAGATGAAACATATACAACACCAATTAGTCCATTATCACCACAAGAAAAATCTCCACCACCACCACCACCACCACCATCAGTATTAATAACATCAGTAACAAATTCAAATGAAGAAAAAGGAGAATCAAATTCTATTAATGAAATGCAAACATTAATACAATCATCAAATGATTTAACATTTCCCTTAGAAGATTCATGGACATTTTGGTATTTTAAAAATGATCGTATGTGTGATTGGAAAGATAATTTAATTAAAATAACAACAGTATCAACAGTTGAAAGTTTCTGGTCTGTCTATAATCATTTACAATCAGCTAGTCGACTTGGTCAAGGTTGTGATTATTTTTTATTTAAAACACATATTGTTAGTATTGAATTTTTATTAGTTTAAATTTGGTTTTTCGTAACTTGTTTTTCTATTTAGCAACCAATGTGGGAAGATCGATATAATCGTTCGGGTGGTCGATGGTGTTTAAATTTAAATAAAAATCAACGAGCTAATGAACTTGATACATATTGGCTTCATACAGTTGGGCGTTTGTTTTTATCTTTTGTGTAAAGTTCTTTTTCTTTTGACTAGTTACTCTCATTAATTGGTGATCAATATGGTGAAGATGCACATAATGTTAATGGTTGTGTAGTTTCAGTTCGAAGTAAAGGTGATCGAATAAGTTTATGGACACGAGACTGGAGAAATACTGAAACTACAAAACGTATTGGGTAAAAAGAACTGATTAGATTTTGTTTTTGAAATATGATTATTTTATTTGCTTTATTTAATAGAAGTCGTTTTCGCGAAGTCGCTGATATTCCTCGATCATTACAATTGATATTTGAAGTAAGTATTTGAATTAATAGAATTTTACGTTTTCAATGAGATACATATTTCTAGCATTTCTAAAAGATCATAGAGATTTCGTTTTGTAGTTTTAAATTTTACTGAAAATCCTTTTTTATTTTTATCATTTGAATCTTAATAGAAAGAATGAACAACATATAACTATATTTCGTTATATATTGATCAATCATTTCAATGTTCGATACAATTACTTGAAATATAGACGCACGTGATATTTTCGGCGTAATCTAATACGTGAGAATGTGAAAAACAAGCAGCAATATACACAGATATCGAATATGCCTAACTGAAATATTATAATAATTTATAAAGTAAAATGAATGATATTATCTATGCAACTTTAGCATATGTATAGAACATTTTTCATGACGTTGTTCACAGTTATGTTTCTTGATAAAAATGAAGCGTCACACTGAAGGACCCTCATTCAGAGATAATTTTTGTTTTGCGCTACCTTTTATTCGATAAAAGTATGTTGTTATATTTCTTAAGGGCATTTCGCTGCTATCGCTTTAATAAATAATATCTTTTTTTTCTATCAAATACGATTGGCTATAAAATGAATAACGAAAATATTAAGCGCAATTAAGTTTAAAGTTTAAAAAAAAGAAATAGAACGAAAAGCGTAAATAAAAGCAAAGACTCTTTAAATTACATAAAATTGTATTAATCATGAAATTTATATATATATATAATTTTAAATTTTCAGAGTCATGAAGATCAAGAATCAAAACGTGGTGCATCATCAAAAATTCTATTTCGAGCTTAAGTGAATGCATCGAATCGAATTCTTTTTCTTTTTCTTGTAGAATTTCTTTTGTTTTTGACTTATATGTATAAAAATTTTTATTGATCTTCTCTTGACATTTCATCGAATGGAATATTATTTTGTTGTATGTATGTTTGTAGTCATTTATGTGTTGTATTTTTTTTTCGTGTCTATATTATCATTCGACTATTTGTTTTCTTTTTTGTTGCTGTTGTCTTTTATGAATTGAATGTGTAAATTTATTTACTTAGGAAAAAAAATTCTTTTCTGTTGTTTTGTTTTTGTTGGTCATTTGATTGTTGTTAAATAAATATAATAATAAAAGAAATATATAAAATACGAATGAAAATCATATGATTCGATCTTTACTAATTGCACTTGCAGCGCAAATATGCACCGACAACACTTCATCTGTTCTGTATTTACCTTCTTCTCACAGCTTCAAGGTATTTGCTTTTTTTTTTCTTTCTTTTCGTTATAAGAAAAATTAAAAAAGCGCAGATAAGATTTCTTTAGCCCTTTTTCAAACGAACACATACTCTTATATAGTAAAGAACATAACGCTATAGCACACATATCATAAGCATCTAGTAGCTGGTTGTTTTTTTTTATTGAAAATGCCAAGCACAGATACAAAGGAGAATCCACTTTTATCAAAAGATGCACCAGATATTGAGGTAAATAGATGTATTCAATTTATGTTTTGTAAATAAATATCATATAAATATAGAATCTACTTTTATTAAATCCAAAAGCGAAAAAATTTGCTAATTCAAGGCCATCAGCACAAACAGTTAAAGATAAAAAACATTGGAAACGTAATGATGAACATACATGCGCAAGTGTAAGTATTTAATTATATTTTATATTGAACAATTCTTTTATATGTGATACATTAGGGTTGTACTAAAGATTTGAATCGAAATTTTCTTGATGTCAAACATACAACACTAAGCGAACGAGGAGCCTTACGTGAAGCAGCTAGGTAAATAAAAAACATCATAGTTGAAATCGAGCTTCGTTCTTTTTTTCTTTATTCAGGTGTCTTAAATGCGGTAAGAAAACATCGATCATTAGCAATGCATGATTCGTTTTTTTCCTCTGATATCTTTAGCTGATGCTCCATGTCAAAAATCATGTCCAACGTCAATTGATATTAAATCATTTATAACATCAATTTCAAATAAAAATTATTATGGAGCTGCTAAAGCAATTCTATCCGATAATCCATTAGGTCTAACATGTGGTATGTCTCTTGCTCATCGTATTCTTTTCGTTTATTTCTTCTTTTTTAATTATAAGGTATGGTTTGTCCAACGAGTGATCTTTGCGTCGGTGGATGTAATTTATATGCTAGTGAAGAAGGTCCAATTAATATTGGTGGTTTACAACAATTCGCTGTCGATGTAAAGAACCTAATCATATATCCGATTGAATTCAATATTTTTATATGTAATCTAGATTTTCAAATCAATGCATATTCCAGCAATTCGTGATCCACGTGAAGATGTACAAACACTTAATGGTAAATATTCAAGTAAAATAGCATTGATTGGTTGTGGTCCGGCATCAATATCATGTGCAACATTTCTTGCTCGACTTGGTTATAAAGATTTAACAGTATATGAAAAGCAAGATTATTTAGGTGGTCTTAGTTCATCAGAAATTCCTCAATATCGTTTACCATATGATACTGTTAATTTCGAAATTGAACTTATGAAAGATTTAGGTGTAAAAATTATACCTAATAAAGCATTAACTATTGAAAACGATGGTTTAACAATAAAAAAATTATTTGATGAATATGGATATAAAGCAATTTTTCTTGGTATTGGTCTTCCAAATCCAAATGTTGATCCAATATTTAAAGATTTAACGACAAATGAAGGTTTTTATACTTCAAAAAATTTTTTACCAATTGTTTCAAAATCCAGTAAAGCAGGTAAAAAGAATTTTGAATGTATTTTAATCGAAAGAAAAAACTTGTTTTCATTGTTTTAATAGGAATGTGTGCATGTAAATCTGCATTACCTATTTTAACTGGCAATGCAGTTGTACTTGGTGCTGGTGATACAGCTATGGATTGTGCAACATCTGCTATACGTTGTGGTGCAAAAAGAGTATTTGTTTGTTTTCGAAAAGGATTTAATCAAATGCGTGCAGTACCAGAAGAAGTAAATAGAATCTTTTAGTTTTTCTTTAATAGAATTGTAAATTTCAAAATAGGTTGATGTTGCAATTGAAGAACAATGTGAATTTATACCATTTTGTACACCAAAACAAGTGATTATTAAAAATGGAAAAATAACATCAATGGACTTTGTTAAAACTGAACAAACAGATTCAGGTTTCTTTTTTTATTCCTCCATTTGTTTTTATCTTTTTTTTTTTGGTAAATTTATTTTCTTGTTCTAGGTGATTGGATTGAAGATCCAGAACAAACAATACGTTTAAAATGTAATTATGTTATCTCAGCATTTGGTTCAACATTAAATGAACTTCCAGGTTGTTTATTTTTAGATATTTTTTATGTTATAAACAAAACTTTTTGTTTTTTTTTCGTAATATATAGTCATTCAAGCACTTGAACCTTTACAATTAGATAAATATAATTATCCTGTTGTTGATTTAAAAACAATGTCAGCAAGTGTCACGGGTGTATTTTGTGGTGGTGATTTAGCTAAAATAGCTAGTACAACAGTTGAAAGTGTTAATGATGGAAAAACAGCTGCTTGGCATGTGCATAGATTTATTCAGGTATGATAAATAAATAAAAATATTTTGTTTATGAATATTTTCTTTGAGTTTCCCACAATATGAAGAAAAATTAAAAGTATTGAAAAACATCAAAATGAGTATTAGAAGAATTTACATAATTCTGTAGACATGGTAGCATATTATTTTACTGTATCATAAAAACAAGGACTATTTATTTTGATTCAAATGGAATACAAAAGTTTTCCTTTCGTACACATTGAGTATCATACTCGAATAAACTTTATAGTTGGAAATATTGTTATAAACAATAGTAGATAGATACATTATATACATACACTGTGAGATTACAACTTATCTCTTGCTCCCTCATAATAAAAGGTCATCCTACATTAAAAGACTACCCTCGTTACAAGATCACCGATAAGAAAAATTTCAAAAGACGTAATAGAAAGTCACGGACTTTTTTTTTGGATTCGGCGAATTTTAGGGTCTAAAAACCCTCTTAGGGTGTGAGTGTGGTTAGAGTGTATTGTGGGTGTAGTGTTACAACAGAGAAGACACACTCACACGTACGTCATATCATGATACAACGAGCCGAAGAAATATGAATTTGTTAATCTGTGATGATACTTAAATATCAGTTCTCAGGTAAAGTGACAGTCACAGAGTATATAGTGACCACGATTTCAGGCATCCACGAAAAATGAAAATGTTTTTTTAAAGATTATTCTTAACTATCAGTATTTTACATCTGAAGAAACTTGCTTTATGCGTAGATGACACTTGACTAAAAGTAATTTAATAGTATCTGTAAAGCTTTTCTAAAAAAAATTGAAGTTGTCTGAATACAGTAGAAGTCTTGAAGCTTCTAATATGAAGGAAGAGTCTTCCATTTTGACGAGTAGTTTGCTATTTTTTGCTCAGAGAAAATTCTGCTTTTCCGATACTTTTTGCTAAAGACGTCTGTTTGAATACCAGAAGCATTTTTCAAAAGCTCTTGGTTTTCTGGGTAACTAGTAGCAAAAATCTAGCCCAGAATAGAAAGCTCTCGTTTAGAGGAATGACGTGAATTTTCATAATAGAAGGTCAGGGTCTTTTATTTTGAGAAGGATAGGATTTACTTTATATTATATAAATCTTGGGATAAATTATACATGTTATTGTTTATAAACACTTTCAAAAGTTCTTCGATTGATGTAGAAGATTTTACTTTAGTTAACTATGAAATAGAAGTATGTCATAACATCCGGCATGTCTTAAAGTTTGAGATTCGATCCTAACCAGAATAATTTATTCTTCTTTGTTTGGATAGAACATTTCTTTTTATGATTAATTTTTGCATAGGGTGATGAAAATATTCCACTTGAACCACAATTACCAAAGTTCTATACACCAATTGATAAAGTTGATGTTAGTATTGAAATTTGTGGTATCAAATTTCCAAATCCATTTGGACTTGGTAATATCTATTGTTATTAAAAACTTCTTTACATAAATTGATTTAATTTCAGCTAGTGCACCACCTGTAACATCAGGTCCAATGATTCGACGAAGTTTTGAAGCTGGTTGGGGTTTTATTGTAACAAAAACATTTTGTCTTGAGAAAGATATTATTACAAATGTAAGTCCACGTATGGCTCGTGGTACAACATCAGGTCATATGTATGGACCAGGACAAGGTTCATTTATAAATATTGAACTTATTTCGGAGAAAACAACGGAATATTGGCTTCGTTGTATAACAGAGTTAAAAAGAGATTTTCCTGATCGAGTAAAACTATTTCTCTTTTTCTTATGCATTAAAAAAACTAAGAAATATATATATTTATATATGAATAGGTCATAATTGGTTCAATTATGTGTAGTTATAATGAACAAGATTGGACAGAACTAGCAAAATTAACTGAAGCAGCAGGTGCAGATGCATTAGAGGTTTGTAATAAAAAATTTTGTTTTTTCAATTTATTCATATGTATTTTAATGTTTTCTTTTTTTAGCTAAATCTTTCATGTCCACATGGAATGGGTTTGTAGCAAAATTTTGATATTAAGAAAAAAAAATTCTATAGCATTTATTCCTGTCTTAATAGGTGAAAAAGGTATGGGTTTAGCTTGTGGTCAAAAACCTGATCTCGTTCTTAACATTTGTAAATGGGTTCGCGCTGCTGTAAAAATTCCATTTTTTGCTAAAATGACTCCAAATATAACTAGTATTGTCGAAATTGCTCAAGCAGCAAAAGATGGTTAGTAAACATACTTAATCACAAAAAAAATGTACTAATTAATTGTAAATAGGTGGAGCTGATGGTGTTACAGCAACGAATACAGTTAGTGGTCTTATGAGTATAAGACATGATGGAACAGCATGGCCAAATGTAGGAAAAACTCAACGTACAACATATGGTGGAGTATCAGGCAATGCTATTCGACCAATTGCTTTAAGAGCTGTTTCAGCTATAGCGTTAGTTTAAACATGTTTTTTTTTTGAAAACAAATTTACTTAACTTTTATCTGTTTTTTTTTAGACGAGCTCTTCCTGGATTTCCAATTCTTGCAACTGGTAACTACGTAAAAATAAACAACGATTTTTTATTTTACTAAAATCAACATTATTCTAGGTGGTATTGATTCAGCTGATGCCGGTATGCAATTTTTATATGCTGGTGCATCTGCTCTTCAAGTATGAATAAACACTTGTTCATGCTTGTAATCAAAATTTTATAAAAATAGGTTTGCAGTGCAGTACAAAATCAAGATTTTACACTAATTGATGATTATATAACTGGTTTACAAGCATTACTTTATTTAAAATCCCTCAATTTAGATGGATGGGACGGTCAATCACCTCCGACACCAAAACATCAGAAGGGTAAAACAATTCTTGTTAAAGATCTTATCGGTTCAGTAAGTATATTTATTTCATCTGTTTATTTTGTTTTTGTTATTTTTCAAAATAGAAATTACCTGCATTTGGTGAATATCGAAAAACACGTGATGAAATAACACAAAAATTTCTTAAAAATGCTGATTTACTTGAGGAAGAATTTCTACCTGAACAAGTTCGTCCAGCACAACAACCTCAAAGAGAAATACCACGTGTAGTAGATGTTCGTGGTATTGCACTTGATAAAATAACTGAATTTAAACAATTAGATCCATGTCAACCAGCTGTTGCTATTATTGATGATGTACGATAAACTAATTATTTTTCAAATGAAGACAATTTTTTTCTCTTGTTTTTTTAGGATTTATGTGTTAATTGTGGAAAATGTTATATGACATGTAATGATTCAGGTTATCAAGCAATAATATTTGATCCTATAACACATATTCCATATATAACGGACGATTGTACTGGATGTACATTATGCACATCTGTATGTCCAATAATTGATTGTATTACAATGGTACCACGAACAACGGTATATGAAGTAAAACGAGGTTTAATGAAACAGAAAATAGATGAAAATATATCACCACTTGGTGAAATATTTGTATCAAGTTAAACAATTTCAAAGACAAATAAATTTGATGATTTTCGCTTTTTTTGGCAGTTGATCCTTTTTTCTTTTTTTTTTGGTGTGCATCTTTATGATTAATAAAACTTAGTTCGTTAAGAAATCGAAAGATTGGTTTTTTAAACATTTGACCTCAAATATGAAATATTGTGAAATAGAATCAGTAGATTTCTCATAGTGATATTCTCAATTGATAACAATCAATCAATCAATTCTAATTATATACGAAGTAGACTTCAGAATTTCTACAGAAATATTGAATTAAACAATATTTGATTTATATAATAAATAGAATAATTTGTACTACTGAACTATGAAGTGATAATGTCATTGTTTTTGTAATATAATCTTCAGTTAATTGTTTCTCTTCTACATTGTACTATAGTCATATTGAAATAAAATTCGAAATTTTTTTTTTGCAGCAATTTTACTGAACTGTTTTGACTAAGTAGAAACAACAAAGCTATAAAAAAAAGTTATTCGTATTGACTTTGCAGACCATAGGTTGTGTGTATGGGGTATGAGTGTGAATCTTGGGTGTGAGTACAGGTGTGGATGTGCATGTGCGGCAAGTTGTCGGATAAAAGTCAAGATATTCATTCAAACGTACACCATCGCCTCATACCCATATCGGCTTGATTCTAATGTTCTCCGAAAAAGTTTACGACCAGTAGCTAAAGACTTCAAAAGTAATACTGGAACCTTCAATCCAGTACTCAATAATGACTTCAACAAAAAATTTTATCGAAAAATTTATGTTCCAAAGGTAAAAAAAGAACCAACGAGAAAAACATGTTCACTGATGGAAAAAAATTTACAAAAAGAAATGGGTATTTTAATCCAAAAATAGACGTTGTCTAGAGTAGTAATCAATCTAATGTTACTGAGTACGGTGGACTACAGGAAATGGAAAATATATCCGGTGTGCATCATGATTGTATTGGTTCTCATATTCATTATTGTCTCAAATTTTTATTTCGTACATTCCTTTTTTCTTTGTTGTTTAATTTTATATCTAGACAAAATGAATGTAATAGGAGAATACTGAACTTATCGCAGGCTAATGTATATTTTACATCAACAACTCAAATACACAAAACCCATATAGAAGCACTCAAGAAACATTCAATTTTATATGGTAAGTACTCAATTGTTGTATTTGGATACTCAGATTTCATCATGAGTAGCAAAACTCGCATTCACTTGACGAGTACAATCACTAGGGGCAACAAATAGACGTTGTTTAATGCCTAGAAACAAAGCATTATGAGAATACTGCCTATTGCAAAAAAGTCGAATATGATCTCTCTAGTGTCTAACATAACCAAAGTGTTGTATTTCTCATTTTCACTATCGAAAATCTTGTCTACATGACAATTCTTCCATCGTTTGCTGTTCACATGACACTTGTTTCTAATTAGTATTCGACAGATGTCACCTTCAACCATAGTTTTTGCTCTTAAAAACATTTGTATCTTTATTATTTTCATATATTCGATATAAAGATTTTTTCATACGACAGATTTAAACTCATAAGTAATTAGTTTTCCTTTCAAAGAGCTTCACATTTAATATGATATCATGAATAGAGGAACAGAAATATTAGTGAATGGAGGTTTCGAACCAATTAATTCTTACATCTAACGCCTAACATCACAACAGAACAACACATTAAATTAACTCGAATAAATATGTATTCATGCTTATTAATTTGATTATTCATTTTTATATCTCTTTTTATTATTTTTAATGTTCTAATTATAATTTATTTGTTAATGATAAATCTTTATTTGTTCGAGAATATACTTTGCACTTATGTCAATTTCAATGTCATTGTTATTATTATTTTAGGTTATTATTAACATACAATAAATATTTTTAAAACTATGAGTTCTAATTCACAAGAAGAAGAAACTGAGAAAGTAAGTTCCTATCTAATATAGTAAAAAAAAAATGTCTTTATAATGAATATTTGAAATCTGAATTTACTGAATACGAAGGTCAATGAGACATATAGTGACCTCTTTTTTTTATTAGATGCTAGGTCAATTACAAATGAAAATGATTGACATTCAAACATCATTAAGAAAATCAACAATACAAATCGAAGAATTTAAACGTGAAATTCAACGTTCAAAATTAACTGACAAAGAAATTCATATACTTGATGAAAATACACCAATGTATTGTTCAATTGGACGAATGTAAAATATAATTTATCTTAAATAAAAATAAAAATAACGAATTTTTTTTTCTTAGGTTCGTTTTAAATAATAAATCTGATATTCGTGAACAAATTGAAAATAAAATAAAATCATGTGAAAATGATATAAAAAAACAAGAAGTATGAAAATAAATTCATTACAGACTGATTGTTGTTTTTTTCTTATAGGGAACGAAAACATATTTAGAAAAACAAATGCGTGAATGTGAATCTCAATTTAAAGAAAAACTTGTTGTAGGAGGAAAAGCAATACGTTCTTAATAATTTGTTATTATTTTGTTTTTGTTTTGTTTTTATGTTTTCTTCTCATAATTTTAATTACTCTTCTAGATATATATCTATGGCTTCAGTTACCAGCGAAAAATTAAAGTATGTGAGAAATAATTTGTTTTTGATTAATTAATAAATCTTTATAAATTATATTTTAGTGATGTAACTATTTTTGGTATAGGAAATCCATTACTTGATATTAGTGCCGAAGTACCAATGTCATTACTTGAAGGGTATGTTATGGATTTGAGAAATTTGATGTCAATCAACTATATTTTGTAAAGTCTAATATTAAAAATATAAGATTAAAGGTTAACTCAAGAACGTACGACTTTTGTATCATAACCTTTGATTTTTTGTTATGCCAAGCGTGACTGGATTAGGTTCTTTACCTGGAAAGGATAGAAGGTTATATTGTTTCAATTGAAAGTATAAGTGACAGAGGGCGTTATGGTGATCCTTTTAATTAATGTCATTAGATCACTTCATATTATTATGTAGTCTAATGTCTGATTTACGTTTTTTGAAAAAAAGGAGTTATTGATAATTTTCAAGTTTTTTTTATACAAGTATTAGCAAAATTCTTCATCAGTATTTCGATCGCGATAATAAAAACCGATTTCATAGAATGTTGTTAACATGTAAGCATGACAGTGCTGATAGTATATGATTTTACATAAGACTTATCTTTGTATATTATCTTATCTTTATTTTTGCCTTGGATTAAAATATTCAGAATCTAGTATATTAATCTTTTGAATTCGTATTCAATTGCTCAATGTGAAATCAAACATTTAAGTAATAAGACCGTCATTCATCCTATATTGCATGGAGTTTCCATAAAATCGTGAAGCATAGCATTACCGTTCACGATATTCTGATTATGCTATTACCATTGGATTCTTTATTAGAGATGCTAGAGAAAAGCTTATTGTATGAAAATGTATTCGACATTATCAAGTCGTCTTCTATCATGAAAAATATTATATTTTGAATGAGAAAAATTTTCTAAGTCTTATCCAACGGAATATATTTCTTATTCTTTGTTAGTTCTACCCTAGCTGAGAGATTCTAAAGGGTTTGAGTGCTATTGGAGATCTTCTTTCAATTCGTAGTTGCGTATTATAGATTTTAACACATTAAGTTTGTTTTTATAAGACGATTAATGAGGGAAGTATTTTAACTGATAAGCCATTTTTGATTTCAAACTTAATGTATGAAGTAGATCGCAATGAAAATATGAAACGTTTCATATGTGAATTCATTCTATTTTTCGCTTTATATGATAATATATATTTGTTGATAAAACAATCAACTTTCTTTAATAGTCGAGAAAATATCTTTTGTTTTTTGTTCAAATATTTTTCTCGCATATGTTAACATGAATAAGAAATCTGTTGCAATTCACATAAATTAACAAAAGAAACAATAATAAACAAAATTCTTCTATTATTTTCCGTCCATTTAATTTTATTGTATCGTGTAATGACTGACATTTATTCACTCATGAAAGTAGTCAAGCGAAAGAGAAGCAGTTAAAAATGATCATTCTATGTGAATGATCCATGAAGGGAAAATAATCAAATACCTGTACTTTGTGTCCTTTATTCTCCTACGCTTATTCTGTAACACTTTTATCCCCTACTCTGCAACATTTTTACCCTTACTTACCCTATCCTACAGGGTGAAAGTCAAGGTAAGATTACCCTGCATACCTTTAAGTGTATTATAAATGTATACGATAAAAATTTTCTTTTATATTTATTTAGGTATAGTTTAAAACCCAATGATGCAATTTTAGCAACTGACGAACATAAAGATTTGTAAGTTTATTTTTACAAAAAAAAAAACGAAACATAAAAGAATAATTTTTTTTTGTTGTTGGTAGGAATGAAACTATACTTTGTGACTTTCCAAATCATCATTTTGTTGCCGGTGGTTCAACACAAAATGCAATGAGAGCCGCAACAGTAAGATTCTTGAAGTATTCAGTAATCATTAAAGCTTTGGTTGTTTTTTTTGTCTTCTAGTGGCTACTGCAACAACCAGGTGTTTGTGTTTATATGGGTTGTGTTGGTCAAGACAAATATCATCAATTATTACATGACGCAGCTACAAGAGCTGGCCTTACTTTATCTTATCAAGTTTATATAGATCCTGAAGGACACGTACAAACTGGTACTTGTGCTGTTCTTATAACTGGAAATAATCGGTGAAATAAGAAAAGAATTTTAAAAATAAAATTTTTTATTTTTTTTAATAGATCATTAGTAGCAAATTTAGGTGCTGCTAATCATTTTACCATTGATCATTTAGATGATCCAAAAAATCTTGAATATATCGAAAAAGCTAAAATATTTTATTCAGCTGTATGTTATAAAAAAAAAATAATTCATTCAATGATCAATAATAATAAATTCTTTTTTTTTCAAAAGGGATTTTTTTATACAGTATGTCCTGAAGCTGTCATGCGTTTATGTGAACATGCTGATAAGAATAATAAATTATTTTGTACGAATCTAGCAGCACCATTTATTTGTGAAATATTTGGTGATAGATTAATGAAAGCTATGCCATATGTTGATTATTTATTTGGTAATGAAACTGTAAGTTAATTAAAAACAAATAGTAATACAAGTCTTTAAATAAATAAATAATTTATAGGAAGCACGAAGTTTTGCTAAACATCAATTAAAAATGGATGTAAGTTTAGAAATTTCTTTTTTTGTTTTTTTCTTATATATTGTGTTTTTCTTTTTTGATGATTTATTTTAAGACTATTGATGTTAAAGTAATAGCGAAAGCATTAAGTGAGCTTCCGAAAAAAAACACTAAACGTCCACGAGTAGTTGTTATTACACAAGGTGCTGATCCCACTATACTTGCTATTGGTATGAAATTTTTCATGCAAAAAAAAAAAAAATTTCTGTTTTATTTTTTTTTTGTAGGAAAAGATATTAAAGAATTTAACGTTAAAACACCATTAGAAATTGTTGATACAAATGGAGCTGGTGATTCTTTTGTTGGTGGTATGTTATATATAGATTTAATTTCTAATGAATTATTTCAATTAAATTTATCGCAAAGAGATAGTTAAATATTTGAAATAAATCTTATTTTTTAATCCTATCTTTTCTAATTAGGATATTTTGTTCTGTCTTAATTGTTATTGACGTCATCATTCAAATAGATATTTTAAAATAAGCATTAAGAAAAAAGAGGTTTTCTGGTTCCTTTGATATACACAGTATGTTTAGAATTAAATTTTTGTAGAAACGAAAGTCTTTTCACTGATGAAAAGAGATTCTTCGAGTGTCGTGTCTCTTTTTCTATTTCGGAATCTTCTTTCTGTATCTCTCAAGTGAGAAAAATGTGACAATTATGATAGTTAGCTTTTTTTAATGATAACTAATCGTGACACTTTAGATTTATTTCTTTAATATAAAACTAAGCTTGTCTTCAAAGGGTTAACATATGGGTACAATGAACGCGTCATAGTTTTGACATTGATTAATTGGGTTAAAATAAACAAGTGTCCTTATTATTAACATCTTCGTGGCGATAGGGCTCACACATAATGTACAGTGACTAGTGACGCATAAAAAGAATAAGAGTTCTCAGAAAATTCAGTACTGAGGGCAAAATGTTTTATGAGGGAATTTATCCAACTGATACCTTTCTTTCGAGCCGATATTTTTTCAATAGGTGTGAAGTTCGATGAGACTGAAAAAATACCAAAATAATTCGTGCCATTAGGCATTTTTTCAACAGTTATGGCCGTTTAACTAAATTCGTTACGTTACGCAAGGTATTTATATGAGAACCAAACGTATGAATTTGGACGTGAAATTTTGCCCATAAGTAGGTATCGTGAGTCTTAGAAGTTTCTAAAAGTTTCAGATAAAATAAATGCTTCCTTCTTGAGATATTGAATGTCAAAGAAAACACAATTTTGGTAATGTTTCTAAAATAGGATCGTTGATTTTTGAACATCCGATATTTCAAGAAGGAACCATTCGTTTTGGCTGACAATTTTAGGGTACTTTAAAATCGACGAGATCTAGTTGTGGGAAAAATTTCAGATCTAAATTTCTTCGTCTGATTTTCTTACAAATAGTTTGCAACAGATCAAAACTTTAATAAAACAGTTATAACTTCGATCGAAAAGTCTAACGTCATGAATTCTTCTAGACTTTTTTCTAGTAGTCGTTGACTCTTACTTAAGAGCGAAATATGAACTCGAACAGATGGTATCAATTGGATGTGTTTCCTCGTTAGCTCTATCGAAAGATGCATTTGAGTTTGTTCAGTAGCTTAACTCTAGTATCATCATTTGTTATATATTAAATTGTTTTTATACTCAAATGATCAGTGCAGATAGCTACATAAAGATTAATAGGCGAACAAGTGTTCTTAGATCCTTTAGCTTTTATGGCTGATTATCGACAGAAGCATCAAATTATATGTCTGAAGTTCCTTAGATCGATATATCATCATTCGATTTGTTAGTATATATCAAACTAGAGGCTAGTAAAATGTCTATACATTTGAATAGAATGTCTTAAGGAACGTTTTCTGTTGAAGTTTTTTATATCTCACAACAAATTTTCTGATTTACTATTTCAGGTTTTCTTGCTTATTTGGCGCTTGGTAAAACTCATGAAGAAGCTATTCAAGCTGGTGCTTATTGTGCTTTTGAATGCATTCAACAGTCTGGTTGTACTTATCCAGAAAAACCTAATTTTGATCCAACAACATTTAGTGTTTAAATGATCAACGTTTGAAAATTATCAAACGTTTCTTTTTCATGGCAATATTATTTGTTTTTGAGTTTAAATCATTTAATCAATCAAAATATTTGATTTTTGTTTTTGTTGAATGAATGTCTAAATTTAAAAGATTGTTTTTAGATTATTTTAAAATGAATATTTTAGTATGTAATATTCAAAATTGATATTAAAAAACAATAATAAAATATATTACCGTTGTTTTTTCCTGTTTGTTTTATTCTCCCATAATGTAAAGATATCATTATAATTGAAATTCAATGATTTTTTTTTCAATTGCTTTGTAATTTATCTTTTAGTTTTGATAAAATGGACAATAACAGTAACAATAATCGAACATCAGTTACTGCTAATTCATCTTCAAATGCAACTACAACATCAACAACAACAACAATAACAAATCCATCTGCATCCTCATCTTCTTCATCATCTGCTACATCATCATCAATTCGACAAAGTCATAAACGAACATTTTCTGAATCGGATTCATCATCACGAACAGAACGTCATTTATGTTCGTTTTCACATTTATGGATTATTAAGTAAGAAAAGGCTTTCATTATTTAGATTATGATAGTTTTTCCATGGAAAACATTTACTTTCGTACAAGAACACGAAAGAAATTCATTCCTTTTTATTTTTTGTTAGTTCAAAAACTAAAACCTTAATTAATATATTCTAAAGTTTTTGTTGAAAACTGAAGTTAAAATTAATTGTATGTCATTTGAAAATCTGTAATGAAGACACTTTCTCAACTTAAATATCGTCTTTCAGCTCGCACTCGATGGATAAATGAAATCCAAATGAAGAATTCAAATTCTCTAGATAATGAGAGTTCCTAGACCTTTTCTACAGAGTTATAGGCATTTTACGGAAGTTTTAGTCTATAGCATAGTATGTAAAAAAGAACCGAATAATGATATTTTGATTATGAAAGATCAGTATCTCGTCAACAGAACATTCTTTTGAGCTGAATTTTTCAGAACATTGCAGTTATAAGTAAACCTTGTTATAGATAAAAGTTCAATGAAATGGCTATAACTATGTAGGGAAGACCTAGATGCTTTTATCCTTTGGGGAGGTTTTCGGACCTACTTTGGGTCTACCTTATACACTGAGTTTGAAATCAATAATGACTTCAACTTAGGGAGGTTTCTCGTCATTTACTTAAAACTGTCAAGAAAGCCTTTTTAAAAGAAAAGAGAAACATAATAGCAGTTCTTTGTAGAAGTTTTAAGCATCATAAACATCTACAGAACTTTTTTTTAGGAAGATATCGACAGTTTTAAAAGTGGTTCGCCAATATAAAAAGGTTATTTTCGTTTTGTAGAAACTTCACAATCCGCATTTTCTTCCAGCATTTGAACGTCTAATCTAATATCATGATCTTTCTCTATTGTAAAACTCGACAAGATTTGATGAATTTTTCATTTTCGATATCATTATAAAACGGAGACTGTATGGAACCAAGTTTTACATGTTCGATTCAACTTCATTTTTGAAACAGCATTCGAATTTGGTTCGTTTTTTGCCTCTGATGTAAAACAATTGATCAAATGTCGTTTGATTATTACTTAGAGCATCATAATTTTAAAGAAAAGTAATACCTCAGTCAATCATTTTTCTCATACATTTGTCTACATTCACTTACTTTTCAAAAATTTGTTCCTGATCGGTTCGGTTCGGTTCGTTTTCAGTCTTTGTCCTAAAATTAAAACTTTGAATATATAAACTAATATGTTTTCGTTTTAGTTATCTTTCATCATATATTGATGATTCGAATTCTACTTGTCTTCAATCGGAATCATTTTCACCTGTTAATACACCTTATTCAAATACACGTTGGAGTTTAAAATTATATCCACGTGGTTTAAATGAAAAACAACATACAAATAATAATATAGCTATATTTCTTAAATATGTTAGTGGTACAATGCCAACAATAAAAGCTAAAGCTGAATTTAGTGTTGTTAGTCGTAATAATGAACTTGTTATGTTACGTTCAACAAATTTTCATACATTTTCATCTGGAAATGATTGGGGTTATTCAGGTAAAAAAATATCTATTTAAGAAAACAAAAAAAGAAACGTTATTTTTTCTTTAAAGAATTTCTTGATGGAAATTATTTAAATTCTCGTCGAAATGATCTTATAACAGATGATCGTCTTCGAGTTTATGTTCGTGTTGTATTAGTCGATGAAAAAGAAACAACTACAGGTGATTTACTTCGTCATCCAAATCATCATCATCATCATCCAGCATCAATTTTACCACCACCACCACCGCCACCAACATCAACACCAACACCAACACCAACACCTGCACCATCATCTCAACATTCAATTCAACAACAACAACAGCAACAATCTAGTGCTATACCAAAAACCCAAGCATCAACATCATCATCGTCAGCATCATCATCAACAGCAACATCAATGAATAATTCAAATCCATCAAGTACATCAACAACATCATCAACAATTATATCCGGCTTATTTACAGATGATAAAGAACGTTTTAAATCATTAGAACTTTTATCAGGTCAAGTAAAAACACTTTTGGATGATGAACGCTTTGCTGATGTACATATTCATGTTATACCTAAACAACAAACAACAACTCAACAACAACAACAACAACAACAACCAATTATTAATGATGATCATAGAAAATCAAATCGAATTAAACATCAAAGAATATCTTCAAAACAACATCAACAACATCCATCATGTTCATCTTGTCATTGTACATCAGAAAAAAATAAATCTCCTAGTACAACTAATGAACAAATATCCGATCATCATGAACAGTCATCGTCAGGTATAGAAGTTTATTAATAATATAATTAACTTTTCAGTAGGGCGAACAACACTTGATCGAAGATTCTTATTATTAGATTCTAATGTAACTAAAACACACCTATAAATACTATTCGAGTATATGAGAAAGTTTTATTTATATTCGCTTTACAAACGAGAAAAGGTTCACAAGTGTATGCCTTCATTCTCAATCGATTTTATGGCAGTTTGTAGAGCTTGATGCCATAAAAGTATGCTTTCTCATAGACTTTCGTTGAGGAATTAGGTCAATCTTAACTTCAGAAAAATGACTCTAAGTTGTTAGATCGAAAGTTTTGATCTTTATGTTAGGTTCAATTCTCAGCATTGAAAACTTGAGCACTCAATACATCTTAATTGACTGTACATATTTACACAATCAATATACATAGAAGTCCTAGCTACGTTTCAATACTATTAATACTGTAGATGTCAAAATTCATTTAATATCAATTCTATGTACATTTATTTATGATATACATATATCTGTTGATTATGTTTCAATAACCTGCTTTTTCGATTATACTTCATTACATAAGCACCCGAAGAAAACAGACTATTGAAAACGAGATATCTCAGATTGAGATCGAGTTCTACAAACTGACATAAAGTCGATTGAAAACGGACACCCACACTTAGGAGTCTTTTCTCGTAAAATAATTTCGAAGAATGGAATTTTATCAATAGACAGATTTAATACCTTGACTAGGATTCGTTAGGTTCAGAAATTCAAGACCCAACTTCAAATTTGACTCTTAATGAAATTTTTTAATCTGCACTTGTTAGCCAGTACGAATGAATAATGGCTATTGCTATTTTTGGAGAAGCACTTGTCGAAATTTTCAGAGTAGAATTCAACTTAGTACGAGTCCTTCTCAACAGGCTACCATATTGAATATGTTCTATGAATGAGTAAAATGACTATAATATTTTAATAGAAATTTTTATTTTATTTTATTTTTTAGTTATCTGCAAAGATTCTGAATCAGATAATTTTGATTGTCGTCATTCAACAAATCTCTCATCTCAAAATTATACATCTTCTAGTTCATCATCATCATTTATAACTCCAACAACACGTCGAACAACTCGTTCAACAACGTCATTATTATCACGTATTGCTCAAAGTTCATCATCGTCATCATCATCATCATCGGAAACAAATCTTTCATCATTAAGTTGTTCAACATCATTTATTGAACCATCATCATCATCTGAAATATGTTCATCGTCTTCCATATTATCATTATCATCAAATATAAAACGTTGTTCATGTATATGTCACTATCAAGATAATACAGAACAAGATATACATATGGATATACAACCATCTCATTTAAAATATTCTAATATAACACCATTAGCAATATTTCATGCTCATAAAGCTATATTAATGTCTCGTTCATCATCATTTTCAACCCAACTGCGTAATTCAACAAGTTATAATAATAAAATAAATTCAAAATTACCATCAATTGATTTATATATTGATGATCTTGATCCACCAACTGTACGTATAATGCTTATTTATATATATACAGGTCGTTTAATAACATCAAATGATGATATAAAAACAAATATAAATGCTATTGATTTATTTCGTGCTGCTGTTAAATATGATTTACATGAATTACGTCAATTAGCTAAATCCACAATGTTAGACGTATTAAAAATCGATAATGCTATTGAAATGCTTGAAGTTAGTGATCAAGCTAATGATGTATCACTTAAACAACAAGTTTTAGCTTTTATACGTTCAAATGCATCAGCTGTATCAAAAACAAATAATTGGTTACAATTTTCTAAGCGTTACCCACATTTAGTTATTGATGCATTTCGTTCACTTGTTACACCACCATCAACAACAAATACAAAACAACATAATAATAATGCTAATAATAATTTTCATTCAACAACATTAACTACAACAAGTAAACAATATTCAAAATATGACTAATATTAAAAATTATATAAATATAAATATATATATATAAGAATCATTCGTTGTGTTTTTCTTTTTTTTTCTGTCTTTTATTCTCTCTTATTTGTACAGTCATATCGGATGCATAAGAAAAGTTTGTTGTCCTGTTCGTATGTTTGTTTTCTTTTTTCTCTTTTCCTTTGTCATGATATATCTACTTGCAAAATAAAATATGAAAACAAAAAAAAACGTTTTTTTTATTAATATGATATATAAAACCTTTTTTTTTGTTTTGTTTTACTTTAGATTTGAGTTTCATTGATTAATTATATACAATTAGTCTATATTTCAAAGTTGTAACAGTCAACGGCTAATCCGGTATTGATTTTTTGCAAAAGAACGAATCAAAGAAGTATTTATTTTCATTTTGACTAGTTCGTAGAGATGTAAGAGGTAACAGAGTAAATCTATTATGAGAAGTAGAGTACGTCTACAGTTGATTCATATGTGCTATGCCTGATATGCATTTAATTAGTACACAAAACTAAAATAGATTTTGTAGCCAAATGAAATTTTCTATTCAGCGATAGATGTTAAGAGAGAGAGAAAAAGTTTATGGAAATATTAGATAGCGAAAGAGAAAGCTTTCAACGCTTTCGTTACGAGATTATAATATTAAATACAATGGAGTTATTTTAATCATTGTAGGAAACTTCATCATTCATATAAACAGACCAACAACTAACACGCCAGAAAACTTACTAGACCGTTATAGACATATCAGCATCTCTATCACAATCTGTCAGTATGTTAAAATGATATCGATATGTTTGTTGCAGTCTTCGGAACAAGTTCGAGACAATGAGTTCAATTTTCTCACCATATACTTTAATACTCATTAACAATCATGTTTCATAAAAGCATTATAATAATGAAATAGGACCTCCACGTAATTTCTGGAGTGATGCAGAGATAGACATGATCAATCGATAGGTTGACTTGTCATTTATATGATGAGAATTATGTCGGTCTGAACGGTACTAGTAAGGAAAAATCTCCATGATTTGCATCTTTGCTAAATTTGATTTCTATTGAGAAAATATTTAGACTAAAGTAAAAGAATTTTAAATGCAATCTATTGAGCTGTGCTGTTAGTAGAGTCCGTCGGGTCCAAAATTTTTGGACCCGGATCTGAATCCAAGCCGACGGACTTTAGCTGTTATCCTCGTTATTGAAAATATTGAGTGAGTACTGAACGAATAGATGCAAATGACAATAGAATTGTCTTAGGTTTTAATACGCCAATTTTTTTTTACAAGTATTGTTTACACAAGATATGTGATCTGCATTATCTACGTCGTTTTTACCTTAACAAGGTAGCGTAATTAATATAGATCACGTAATCATGATCCATAGAAAGCGATTCTACCATATCTTTAGGCTACAGCATAATCTGGATTACGACATAATGTATTTTAGATTATGAGTATAAAAAAAAATTTTTTTTCAATTTCTTTAAGAGTAGCTCATAACCAAAATGAATATTATCGACAATAGACATTTTACTGTTGCTTTATACTAGAGCATAGATTTTTTTGCGTTTTAAGAATATTTTCAATAAATGTTTATTACAATATTTTATTGAGAGACTACTGTCTAATAGAACTTGAAACATACTTTAATTTCATAAAAGTTTAGATGTATATGGTGGGTGAAATATGATCTTTTTCAGAATAGAGCTAATTAAAAAAGAAACTTTTTTCTAATTTTGAAAATGCATGTAATCAAAAATTAATAGTAGCGTCATCTATATAGAAAAACAATAGGTGTTTTTTTTTGTTTTTCTCGAGCAAAATCAGCTGATCGAAACATACTTACAGATAATTCTTGATAATAACTATATCATTTTATTATTCATTATATCAGGAAAAAAAGACAATCTAAATAAAAGCTTTCTTTTTTTAGCACGTTTCCTTTTATAATCTGACACCAAACAAAAAAATACTGATTAAATTAATATTTTAGATGTGTTTTTGCCGTTGTTATTCTTTCAACAACAGCTGCACATTAGCCATTTGAAAGAAAAACGCTATATATTCTTTTTGATTTTATTCTAATCAATTCCATTTTCATACAAGAAAAAGAACAAAATAAATTAGATTACTAGAAACAATGACAACAAACTCAGGCAATGATATTAATCCTGATGAACATTCACCAATGCTTACATCAACATCATCATCATCATCAAATTGTTTATCAGCATTTATAAATAGTCATACAAATAAAAATTCCACAAATGATTATGAAAAAATTAGTGAACGTTTTTTAACTATATTTTCAACATGGGATGATCGTGAACAATTAATATTTGTTGAAAATCTTCTCAAACGTATGCATAATCATCAACATGGACAAATTAATACATTTTTATTACCTATGTTACAAAGAGATTTTATTGGACAATTAGAAGCACGTGGACTTGAACATATAGCAGAAAAAATTCTTGGATATTTAGATGATCAATCATTAGTGTCAACAGAACTTGTTTGTCATGATTGGTACCATGTTATATCAGCAGGTATTATAGATAGAAAATTTTGAGTTCTTCTACACTTAAATCAAAGTTCGAATTCAAAAGTTTATATTGTGTCGAATGTGAATCTGTATGTAGATTAAGGAATCTACAACGATTGCTCGCAACACTGAAGATAAGCTCAACAAACAAATTTTCGTAGCAGAAGTCTAGAAAATATTTGTTTATGTTTTATATCTTTTGAAAGTGTTTTCAAAGAGTCAAAAGCTATCAATGCAAACCAGTATAGTGTGCAGTTTTTTGGAGCACGGTCTTAGAAGTTTTATTTGAGTTTTTGTTCGAGATTATGCAAAGAACATTTTATTCGTCCCCAAAAATTAGATTGAATGGTAAACAAATAGACTTTTTGCTAACTTCAGAAGTTCCTTTTCAAAGGTATCAAAAACTATTGTAGCCAGTCGTTTTGATGAGCAGACACTACCAATTTTTATATTAAATTAAGCTATGACTTTTACCTAACCAGGAAACATTTCCAAGTGATTCGCTCTGCTTTGATTCATTCATATCTCATTCGATAGAGTATATTGAGATAAGAAAAAGCCTAAAAGGATTCGTGCCCATGGCCTAGTAGTGAAGAGTTATGGTCGTTTTACTGAGATTTTTTCTGTGAGCCAGACATTTCGGAAAAAAACAAAGTGAAGATTTTCGAGCTGAAATTTTATATGTAGATAGATTTAATAGTCATCATATAGTCCTAAAAATTTCAACGAAAACGAACATGTCTTTCTCGAGATATTCAATGTCCAACTAAACTGGATTATTGTGCCCTCCTATGGTAAACAGCTATTTCTTTTCTGAAAATTGAATAACTCGAGAAAGATATGTTCGTTTTCGTTGAAACTATTAGGATTATATAATGGCTATTAAATCTATCTACAGATAAAATTTCAGCTCGAAAATCTTCACTTTGTTTTTTTCCGAAATGCCTGGCTCACAGTAAAAATTTCAGTAAAACGGCCATAACTTTTTACTACTAAGCCATGGGCACGAATCTTTTTAGGTTTTTTCTTATCTCAATATACTCTATCGAATGAAGTACGAATAAATCAAAACAGCGAATCCCTTGGGAATGTTTCCTCGTAAGTGAATTGCCAAGAGGTAGCTTTTGCTCAGCAAATTACTATATTCATGAAAGCTTCAATATTTACTTTCGAATCGTAATAATGAAAGTAGAAAAGTCTATGGAAATCTTCTGTAAATTTTCCTTATGCTCGAGCTGCTGTTTACTTGAATTTTTGCTATTCAATATCGAACATAGTATTCGCCTATTTTTAACATTTCGATAAATTCAAAAATGTAAATTTCCATTTACCAGCGAAAACATTTACAAACCTATATCATGAAGTAAATCTTCATGGTTCATATACCATTCTCATTCTCGTACGATGTTGTATATGATTGAATTACATATCTGTAAATAGAGATTTGTGGAAAGTGAAATAGGAACCACGCTTCTGTCGAGACTTGATTTGGAATCAACTTTGCAATTGAAGAGAGACATTCCACATTCTCTTATCTCTTTTTTCAAATTTGATATCATTTACCTGAATACAAGTAAAACTGTGTCATACGGTTGAAATGATTTTACTGTTGGTTTGGCACTTTTTTTAAATGTCGGATCTTATTGAAGAAAAGAATTAGGTCTGGATTCAGATATTTAGTATTTGTAGGTCAACAAAAATGTGTACTCACGTCTCTCTAATTACAAACATTTTAGCTTCCAAGAAATAAATGAAACTTGACAAATTGATTATGATAGATACGTTGGTCATCCACTGAGAGAAAATAAGTCGATGCTACGAAATATATAATTTTTTTTCATTTCCTGTAACAAATTCTATATGACAGTTTTTTTTATTACATATAACAAACTTATATTACATGTTTGTTTATTCTTATCCTTGAATATCAATGTCGAAATCGATTATATCAATTATCAGAATCTTTAAACCCAATATAATATAATGATAATAATAATAACAAAACAAAAAATCGTTTATTATAATAATTATTTTTTTTTAGGTATGCTATGGAAAAAATTTATTGAACGTAAAGTTGTATCAGATTCGTTATGGCATGGTCTTGCTAAAAGTCGTGGTTGGACAAAATATCTTTTTCGTCAGATATTAACATCAGGCGAAAGTCAAAAAACTCATGAATTCTATCGTAATTTATATCCTAAAATTTTAAATGATATTAAACAAATCGAAACAAATTGGCATACAGGAAAATTTCAATTAGAAAAAATTCAATGTCGTTCACAAAATAGCAAAGGTGTCTATTGTTTACAATATGATGATGAAAAAATTGTTAGTGGTCTTCGTGATAATACAATTAAAATTTGGGATAGAAAAACACTTCAATGTACTAAAGTATTAACAGGACATAATGGAAGTGTTTTATGTTTACAATATGATGAAAAAATAATTGTTACAGGTTCATCTGATTCAACTGTACGTATATGGAATGTTAAAACAGGAGAATTAATTAATACATTATTACATCATTGTGAAGCTGTTTTACATCTTCGTTTTTCTGATGGTACTATGGTAACATGTTCAAAAGATCGTTCAATAGCTGTTTGGCAAATGAATTCACCAACAGATATAACTATTCGACGTGTACTTGTTGGACATCGAGCAGCAGTTAATGTTGTTGATTTTGATGAAAAATATATTGTTAGTGCTAGCGGAGATCGAACAATTAAAGTTTGGGTTAGTTTATTTCATTGAATGTCTTTTGTTGTTGTTGTTGTTTTGAAACACGGTCTAAAAGGGATGTTGCAGTATAGAGGAGACTCTCATGCATCACAAACCATATATAAACAATGACTCATGATAATATATGAACTATTTCATTATTATAGTTCGGGAGATATTCAACTAACAAGAGTCAAAAATAGCTCATTTGACAATGCAAAATTCTCATGAGACCTTCATTCTATAGCTTTGATTCTTTTTTCATCTGAAAGTGCATGACAGATCCTTTTTTTTTTTAATTTTTTTTATAGAAAGATAAGTTCAGTGTTTTGAGTTCTGGAACTCTAATTATAACAGTACTCTTTTATATAATAGTAACAAAGCTTAATTCACAAAAGTAATTGTGTCATACCCTGTATCTTGACATGACCTTTTTCAAACAGAAAAATAACATCATTGGCTACAATGAAGCTCCTTCGAGAATTCTGGAATGCTCGATTAACAAAATTTAAATAGAGAAAAAGCTGTCATTTATGAAACATCATATCTTGAGTTATCTTTTCCATGTAATTATCTCGATTTTCATTAATTTTGACAACAATTTACTTTTATTGAAGGAAGATGTCTTAAGTAATATTATACTGAAGAAATATGTCCCAAAAGAGATAGAATAAAACAGTCGTCCTACAATTAGCAACAACAGTTATATCATGTTTCAAATTGTAATCCCGTAGGAATTTTACTGATAGCTATTTTTTGTTAAATAGGATACAACAACATGTGAATTTGTACGAACATTACTTGGACATAAACGTGGAATTGCTTGTTTACAATATCGTGATAAAATTGTTGTTAGTGGTTCATCGGATAATACAATTCGTATATGGGATATTGAATGTGGTGCATGTTTACGTATTCTTGAAGGACACGATGAACTTGTACGTTGTATTCGTTTTGATTCTAAACGAATTGTTTCTGGAGCTTATGATGGTATGAAAGAAAAAAACAAAAGCAAAATTTTTTCTACTGATTTTCTTTTTGTTATAATAGGTAAAATCAAAGTTTGGGATTTAGTAGCTGCACTTGATCCACGTTCACAATCATCATTATGTATATGTACATTAACTGAACATACAGGACGAGTATTTCGTTTACAATTTGATGAATTTCAAATTGTATCAAGTTCACATGATGATACAATACTTTGTTTTAATTTTCTTAATGATACGACACTAACAGATCATACAACAGCGATAACAACATCTTAATATTTAATTATGTATATGTTCTTATTATTATCTCATGTCTTTTTCTTTTCTTGTCGGCTATGTCTTTTACTCAATCATATAGTTCAGTTTTTTTTTTGTCTTTTGTCTTCTTTCTTTCATATGTCTATGTTTATATTGTCGTTTTTAATGTGCAGTGTCCTTTTTCTTTCTTTTTTTTTTTCTTCAGTGTATATTCGATCAGGATACAAAAAAACAATGAAAAGAAAAACAATATGTGAGAGGCTTACTAACAGCATTTTTGAATAATTTGTTTCTTTATTATTAAATATAATCAAATGAAGAATGACGAAAAGATTGAAAAATTTGCATAGAACAAGCAAGAATAGATTGACGTTTGTTAAGAAGAGTCATAAGAAAATAAATAAAAAACAATATATATCATTGAAGAAATTCATCGAAATAAAATGAACCAATAAATAATCGAGATTTCTCATTATTTATAAGTGTCCTTGACAATAACACATGTCGAGATCTGCAATCTATCAATAAATTCTTCTTATTATAAAAATACTGACAACATTAATAATAATAATTACCAATGCAGATAGTACATCAGTAGAGACACATAATATCGCTACATTCATCTATGATACTTATTGTTCAATTGAATATAAAGATTATATTTGATCGATAATTAATATCATTCGAAATTTCTAGTGAATATTACTAACTTCTAAATAGTAGACATGAATGAAACTAGTCGTATTTGGTTACGAGACTATCTTATCTATATGTAAACAAACCAAAAGGAAATTCAAATAATCCTTTCAATGGAACAGAATTGAACGGCTTTTTTTAAATTCATTATTCCATCATACTATTTCGTCTTTATAATTTCTATTCATGAGTATATTTGATTCATTGATGGGATAATAAATATTTAATAGAAGAGCTTGATTGTAAAGCTGAAGTGCGGTTATAGAGTTCAACAATTCTATTAATTAATATGTAATGTAGAATTTGTTGATATTTAATATGTTCATTTTTTTTTGATGTTTTATAAAATATTTACATCCTATTGAAATTTCATAATTTATAGTTAAGAAATTAATTTTATATTGTTTGAAATATTAACTTTGATCATATAGGATTTCCAATTATTTGCTTTGCTTATTTGTTAACAAATAATTCTAACGAATAAACATCATGCTCAATGTCATCAAAAAATATTCTTTCTTCGTTTCTTTGTTGTTTTCTTCTGAAAATTTTTCAATTAATTATAAATATATATATTATCTAACAGAACATGTTTTTTTTCTCATATGCAATACGATATGTAATGACTAGTGTATTTGTATTAGAAATAAATGATATCTTTGTATGAATTTTCTTGTACTAATGATAGTTAAACAGCATTGTAAATGAAAAAGATAATCATTAAATATTTTAAGCATATTTACAAATTGTTTTTTCTTTTTTTTTTGTTAATTCGTTACAAATATTTATTAGGTTTACAAAAAAAAGAACCCTAATTGTCGATGCATTATTGATATTAAGAGACTTCTCATGCTAATAAGATTGATGTTCTTTCCAATGTCAATAAATGAATAATTTATCTTATACTATTACTTAACATAGAATCATATTCATCGAGAGTGCCTATCTTTCTTTCTCTTGAATATAGTGACTTTGTATTGACTATTGCATATATATGAAGCTTATCATAGATGAACTATGAATTTATTTTTTTATATTCATTTAAAAAAAAAGAGTCTTATTATTGTTAAAAAAATTCTTCATCAAAGTTTTATAGGATTGATGAATTATTTATCACTATCTCTCTATATAACAAGTTCAGTTAAAAGTTTTCAATTGAATATAAAATCTAATTATATTTTTTATTTATTCATATAATATCCTGTTCACTTTGTGTAAGTAAAAGTTCACCAATAAAATATTATCATTTCCTATGACTTATTGTTTGATTGTTCAAAAGTAATGTATGAAGTTTTTCATAATAGAAATATACTTGAAAGTTCAAGTACATATATTATTAAACTAAGTGACCTTAATAAGCGAATCTATTTTTATAATTGATTTGTATGAAGAAAATTAATGTCGACATGAATTTTTCTTGCTTAATTATACGATATAGATGTGGTGAGTTGACTAATTTTATTATTATTATGAATCCATTTAAAATAAAAGCAAAATTTTTTTGCACCATTACAGTTGATCTCTATGAAATGATCTAGAAAGTGTAATTAAGATGCATTGAATGAGATGCCTCGACTATGACAACTACAATCAATTTCTTCATTTATTCTTTTTTCCGTTAAAGATTTTTCTTTTCTTGTTAATTTTCTCTTTCATCATGTTGTCAAATCCTTTTTCTTTCTCGATAGAATATATTTCTTTATTCAATAGATCTTGATGGGTTCTTTATATTAAGCTATAACTATAACCAAAGCTTCGTTGAGTATTTATATATAAAAATAAATGAAATTTTGTAGAAAATTTACGATGGTAATAAAACTTCTTCTCTCTGGTTTTTTTCTTCTGTACTTAATCTGTGTGATCGTGTGCAGAAAAACAAACACGTTTAGTAATATATATATATTTACATCTTTTTTTCTATTTAGTTGTAGGTTTTTTTCTTTCGCGGTTCATATACTGTTGTATCCAGAGAGAAGAGACGTGAGTGTTGAAAATTTCAGTAGCATTGATGACAACATTGACAAGACGACGATAAATTATTCATGTAGAAACATTGAAAAGCACATATTTCTTTTTTTTTTCTTAGTTTTCTCTCTCTCTCTCTCTCTCTCCTTGACACTTTCTTGATTGCCCAGAAGGCCTTGGAAAAGGAAAAAAAGAAAATACTTTGACTCTGAAGACAAACATTGCACCATATAAAAAAGTAACATGTCGATTATTTTCGAGATCCATATGTTGCTAGAATAAGTTGCTTTTTCCTCTCTATAGATTATTTTGTGATTTGATTATGACACATACACCGATAAAGGATAATTAAAGAGTATTTTGAACAGCATGTTGTTTTTTGTCTATCATTAGATCAATATATGTGCAAAACAAATTAGTTGTGTCGATCATCAGTAGCATCATCATCATCATCTTCGTGTGATAATAAAAGAAGGAGGCCAAATAAGAACACTACATAAGATATTCTATTTGATATCTTTTTTCTTGACACTTTCCGCCTACTAAAAATGCCAAAGGACATGGTATAACTGTCACATAACTATTCTGTTTTATTTATATTGCTTGTTAGAAATAATTATGAATACTTTAAAAACATCAAATGTAAGTTTTGCTACAAATAATTGTTATTTGTATATATGTATGTTTAATTTTTTTTAATTAGGTATATACAAATTATTCGACAAAATTTCAAGGATATAATTCAAATGAAACAATAAATTCATCATTAAATGCTCGATATGTATTCGTTATTCGATGTTTAAGTTTATATGCTCTTCTACTTATAATTGTTGGAACAACAGGAAATTTATTAACAATTATTGTATTACTAAGAAGAAATCTTCGTCGTTTAGTAACTATACGATATTTAATTGTCGTTAGTATATGTGATACAGTATCACTTTATGGTTGGAATTTAAATGATTTTTATAAATTTAATCTTAGTCCAGATAATGATAATATAGAAGAACTATCTATTACACATTGTCGAGTTATGTCATTTATGACATTTGTTAGTTTACAATTATCTAGCTGGTGTCTAACTGCGGTTAGCCTCGGTAAGAATATAACATAAAAAACAACAACGCCATTTTGTTCAGACTTATCTCCTATCAGTAATAATATTTCCCTACAAAGAATTGATAAGTTGGGGAGAAAACATTTCTTATAATGAAAATGTTTATGTTGTAGGTTAATAAGGTTAGACATATTCAAGTTCAAGTAAAGCTCTAATCAGCAAACTAACATATTTAAAATATAGACTGTTGTTGACATGTTTGAATTGACAGATTCAAATTTTAAGATAATTACAGTGTACACAACATACTCACAAATTGAAATTTTAGTAGAACTGTTTTTTCGCCATACTTGGAAAGAGCTCGTCAAGTCACATGAAAAAAAAAGTATGCTTCAAATGACACTAAATATACCTTAGAAAAATCAGAATTTTGGGTCTATTTCTCTTTATATTTGAAAATAGCGATATCTTGAACTTTTTCATGAGACTTTTTTTTTCTCATGTAACTCGTACCTTAGAATTGGAATATATTGGTCGAAGCACACTAGCGGTAGTCTTTATTTTAAATTAGTTACTTTGATAATGACTGGTTTAATTTAACTTGAATATTTTTAATCTTATTAACCTACAATACGTGCACCTGCATCGTTAGTCTTCTAACGGATAATCGAAAAGTAATTAAAATAAAATATTCATTCATTTTTCAGAGTTTTAAATGACTCTACAGATATTTAAAAATATTGAAATAGAATCAGAATTTTATGTTATTTTCGAATATGATTTCAAAAATTGTGTAAAACTTCGGATTTAGAAGTTATGAGCCAATCTTTTAGAGGCTCATAAATTAAGTTTGAATGAAGTTTATCGTGCCAACAATTAATTGAAGTAGAAGCAAAACTTATTTCCAAAACAGTGAATGAAAGGGCAAACATTTCTCATTACAATGATATTCTAATGATTTATTTGCTGACAGAGAGTATTTCGTGGAGGAATACTGTGTCTATTCAGGCAATCTTTTCGGCATCTGGAAATCAAACTTGTAAAATGATCTGCGGCATTCTTGAATGATGGTTTTGAAACCTTTGATTTCTACATCATTTGGTTGAGGATAATTTCACCTTTTATTGCAGTTTAAAAAAATAAAAAGTCTAGCTTTTGCAATAAAGAAGACTAAAAATGTAAAAATTTTCTTCGTGCAAGCTTAGTTTTCGCGCCTTGAATAGACTCATTTATAACTGTTAAACCAGATGGTCATACAAAAAAGTTAGATCCATATTTGACAAGAATACAAAATTTTAATTCTAATCCCATGGTTTCAAATTTCTTCTGGCTCTTTAACAAAGCTGAAGAAATGACTGAACATTTTAACCTAATTACTTTTCGTTCATCCGTTATAAAAAAATACGCTTATTTCTCATTAATAAAATCCTGACTTTGACAATTTTTTTAGTTAACATGAAATTACAATAATGACAAGTTAGATGAAACAGTAGTATGATAATTAATTTCACATGATGAATTTTCTTATTTAAATCAGAAGAATATCAGAAAATTTTAGATATAATAGCAGAAATACATGAAAGCAATCTATAAATATGAACTTCCGATTACTAATACTATAATTTATCACAGGACAGAACTACCCATCGTGATTCATTACTTGTTAATTTATGTTTGGATTATACAGAGAAAAATCTCGAAATTAATATAAGGATTTGAAACTATTGACTTTTTCTATAATATAATGACGTAAAATTTTGCTGAATTTTCACTATACGACGAAATATTGCAAAGAAAATCGAAAAAAGGATTTTTTTTTCCCTTGAAGTTTCGTGTATAAGTAGGTCTTCTAATTCTATAAATATCTTTAAAGTTTTAATTCAAACGATTACTTTGTCAATGAAAATCTCCAAAGTTCAAAACTTCATGATTTTTATAATCAATATTTCAAAAATGAAAAATTTTCTATTTTATTTTATGTAAAATATTTCGTCTCGTGATAAAAATACATTAAAAGAATCATTACTTTGTAGAAAAGCTCGATAGGACTAAATGCTTTCGAGCGTATTTATTTAATTTCTAGTCTCTCTTTATACACGCGAAATATGAGGTCAAAATTAATTTATAAACTCGAACAGTTTTATTATTAGTTCATTCAAACATACAAGATTAAAGTGACATATATATTTGTCTGATTAAGCAAATGTTTTCTATAGAAATCTGCTTAAAAACTAAACATTAAATATGATTTCATTTTGATAGATCGTGCTTTAAGTCTTTATTTTCTACATTGGAAACAATCCTATGGAAAAGTAAAATATACAAAATATTATATTAGTATTTTGACATTTATTTGTATTGCATTAAATAGTCATATATTATTTTTAAATGGTTACGTTACATCAGCTGGTAATATCAAATGTTATGCAACAAAAAGTAATGCCGGTTATATATATCCACAATGGGAACGTGTTCATTTAGTTGTTTATAATTTATGTCCATTTGCTATAATGTGTATTTGTAACACATATATTATTGTTATTACAGTTCGATCAAGTCGCCAACAAACTGAATCGACAGCACCGACTGTACAACGGAAAAATATAGAACGTTATCGACAACTAACTGCTTTACTTATTATTGTTACATTTGCATTTGTTTTATTAACACTTCCAGCTTGTATTTATTTTGTATTTTTTCGTCATAATCTTGAAGCAAAAACTGAACGTACTTATCGTTATATGATTCAAATATCATTGAATTCTGTTCAATTTACATCACACGGAATCAATTTTTTTCTCTATTGTTTTTCAGCAAAAAGTTTTTTGAATGAATTAAATGATATGTTTAATGAATGTCTTGGTTGTTGTCAAGGTAGTGATGAACAATGGTCATTTATTGGTATAAGAACTAATCATCAATATAATGAACCAACATTAGAACATCAACGAACTGATCATGAAAGAGAAATGCAAATTAAACATTATAAATTTAATTTTTTTCCAGAATTTCAATCAGCAAGTGAACCACAATCGAGTTGAAATTAAACAATGACATTTTTTCTTCTTATAAAATTTGTAGACATTAATTAGTTGTAGCTTTTTTTGTGTTTTACGAAATTTTTTCTATATGAATCTAAATAAATAATGTATTATTCTTTTAAATTAACCTTAAATGGTTTACTTTATTCATCAGATTAATTATGTGTATGTATGTTGTTCGTTTGATTGATTATATGATCAAGTGTTATTGTTTGTCTGTTTATTTTTGTTCTATATTATTTATGTTTGAGTCAGTTTATTTTTTGAAACCCTAGTAATTTATATATTTGTGCATCCTGTTAAGTTTTATCTTTTAGGATAAAACTGAGCAATTGGACATTATGTGTAGAAAACGTAGTTGTGTATATCGTCAATATATCTAACAAATAGCATTTCTTGTTATTTTTTTTTTCTTTTTGTTGTGTTAATATTATACAAGTTCATTTTCTTTCAGTCATAAGACATCAAATTATGACAAGAATAAGTCCAATAGACATTAAAATATGTATTTAGTAAAAAAAAGACATTCATTCTATATTGAAGACATACAAAATAAATATTTAACAAAAGGCAATTTTTTAAATATTATTTGCTCAAACTTTTAGACAAATATTCGAAAAATTTGTTCAGTAGAACTTTTATTTTGTTATAAAGCGTGTCCGATAATAACTGAGGGTAAATTGTCAACGATATTTAAAAAATTTTTTTTTTTCTTCACATAGAAGCCTGGAATTTTTATCACATATATATCAGAGCTGAGCACAAGACAGAACAGTCCTGCTGTTTTGTCCTGCAGAACTAGCTTCTACCCGACTCTGTTTTACATAATTTGGTTTTGTTTGTATCATTACTGTTATCCAGTACTTTTTCATTGTTTTATTATTTTTTTTTCTGTCAATAGTATCTACCATATGTCAAGAAAATGATGATAAAACTCCACAAGTTCATATTTTTTTATGATTTGTTTTCTGTGATGAACGTGCCATTAAAAAAATAAATTAAGATATTTTTATATATTTTATTGTATTTGTAGTATTAGACATTATTGTTAGCTTTAGTTATTGTATTTGAAAATGATATGAAATAAATTAGCTATAAAATAACTAATAATCTGATATGTACTTTGGTGATCAAAAGTCAAAATAAGAATTCCTTGTGTCTTGTGTCCAGTTCTAATATATGCATATATCTGACCAAGATCTATAGTTTCAAAAGTTGCAGCACACTGACTAAAACTAGTGATATTTATTAATACCTGGTGAAAAGAAATTTTGCAAGAGATATTGTTTCAAAAAAGTAAATCATAATAAAACTCAATAGATATGAACATGCTGTCCTTTGCTTTCTATGAGCAGTTATTATTTTTCTTTCGAAAATTTTCTCCATTCTTGTGCATTTTCTTTTCCTAATCGTAACTTTTCGTTCAGTACATCCCAAACATTTTCAGTTCTTCTAGCATGAATAAATTTAGCATCACTATCTATAAAATTATTACAAAAATCTAATATGACAATTCATGTATGTTAATCATGCCCATGCATTTTAATATTAGTTTTAGATAGAGACCTAAAACTTTTCCAAATTAAAGATCTTAGTTAGATACAAAAATTCAACAAAACAAAAAAGAATCTCAGCCTTCGACGTCAAGAAAAATTATGAAAAATATCGTTGACCGTTTTTCCTCAGTTATTATGAAACACCCTTTATGTAAAGAAAAATACATTATTATTGGGGGGAAAATCTGCTTTTTTGCTTAAGATTTTTTGGAATTTGTTCAATGAAAGTATGAATAGAGGATTGACTATCCAAATAATGCCTCAATATTTGTCAGAAAAATAACGTTGGATTCGGATTGAATCAATCGTAATTGAAAGAATCTTGAAGAGTTCGAAGCTCCGAATTTTCGCCAATCTATCGCCGTTGATGAATATCCTATTGGCAAAAGTATTATTAGCGAAAATCTAGCCACCCAAGAGTTAAATGAATTTTAATTATCATGGACTCTGATTCTATTGCTTCATTAATGACAATATCTCTACCATAAACATCTCTCAATAATTGAAAATTACTCATTCTTGCCCAATAAGGGTACAGAGATTTTTTGAATTCTTTTGCTACATTGCTGATACATTTTCTTATACATACCACCCACCACCCCCGCAAATCTTCAGACTCTCACGCAGTTTCTGTGAAGGACATAGATAATATAGCTGATGTTAGAGATTATATTAGAATCAGTTAAATATAGATTTATTTGTTGGCTAAAAGAAAAACTGTTTTGCAATATACTTGATAACCAACTCCATCTGCATTATGTCTAATATAAAATTTTTTTTCTTATAAGTAAAAATCAAACAAATGATACTATTGGTTGTTAATCAAAGGTAGAATACCAAATCCATCGGACGTGGACAGATTTTTTTTTTTGTTGGTTTGTTTACGTGTACCGTTTTTGAATCTTAATTATAATACCTTAGAAATTCTTTTTTCTCATTATTATTTTAGAACATCTTAGTTTGATCATATTATTTATCATTAAAACATGGTAATACTTTTCTAAAATGTTTATGTTCCAAAAAAAATAAATAAATAAATGTATTAACTATTCTAGCCTCTGCGCCTTGACGTTAAGCGCAAATTATCCGTTCGATCAGATCGTGTTAAATGTGTTGATATACATCCTAATGAACCATGGATCTTAGTAACACTTTATAATGGTCATGCGCACATTTATAATCATGAAACTCAAGTATATTAATTTACTATAAAAAAAAAAACGTACTTCATTATTATTATTGTGTTTTTTTTCTCTTGTAGCAATTAATTAAAACATTTGAAATATGTGATGTACCTGTTCGTGCCGGCAAATTTATTGTTCGAAAAAATTGGGCAGTTACTGCATCTGTAAATATCATATTTATTTATTAAATCATAAAATTTAATTGTTTTTCTTTTCAAGGATGATATGCTTGTACGTGTTTATAATTATAATACACTTGAACGGCTACATCAATTTGAAGCACATAGTGATTATATTCGTTCAGTTGCTGTTCATCCAACACAACCCTATATTCTTACTAGTAGTGGTAGGTTTTATTTTGAATGAATAATTTTTTTTTGCTAAACTTTTATTTTTGTAGATGATATGACAATTAAATTATGGGATTGGGATGCTAAATGGGCACTCAAACAAACTTTTGAAGGACATATTCATTATGTTATGCAAATAGCTATTAATCCAAAAGATAATAATACATTTGCATCAGCTTCACTTGATCGTACTGTCAAGGTAACAATGAATATTATTAATCATTCTGTAGAATACGAACTAAAAGGAGCATTGACGTACAGAGGTCAAAATTTGAACCCATTCGCTCTTATCACAGACTTTGACAGATGGGAGCCAGAGATCATGACATATGCCTTAGCAACGTACTCTGTTTCTCTGTGACAGATGTCAATATACGATCACAACCCGCATATTAATAATGTCTCGTGATAATATATGAACTACTTTCATATTGCATTTCTCGAGGATTAAGTAAAAGATTGATGGAGAAATTTGTTCAAAAATAGATAGAATAAAGCAATTTCATTATGAATTAGTAACAGGAGTTACATCGTGTTTCACATTTTAATTCCGCAGAAATTTCACTAGCAACTTTTTAATTTAGGTATGGCAATTAGGATCTACTCAAGCAAATTTTACTCTTGAAGGTCATGATAAAGGTGTTAATTGTGTTGATTATTACTCAGGTGGTGATAAACCTTATCTTGTTTCGGGTGGTGATGATCGCCTTGTTAAAATTTGGGATTATCAAGTAATTTGTATTTTTAATTTTTTCATTTGAAAAACAAAACAATTTTTTTTGTCGTTCTATAGAACAAAACATGTGTACAAACATTAGAAGGACATTCACAAAATGTTGGTTGTGTTGCCTTTCATCCTGAATTACCTATTATATTAAGTGGTTCAGAAGATGGTACTGTTAAATTATGGCATTCAAATACATATCGTCTTGAATCAACACTTAATTATGGTCTTGAAAGATGTTGGGCTATAGCATGTTTAAAAGGATCAAATAATGTTGCACTTGGTTATGATGAAGGAACAATGATGATTAAAGTAAATAGTTTAAAACAAAAAAAAATAATCAAACAAAACTAAGTTTTATTATATTTTTATTTTTTATTTAGTTGGGTCGAGAAGAACCAGCTATGTCAATGGATGCATCAACTGGCAAAATAGTTTGGGCAAAACATTGTGAAATTCAACAAGTTAATTTAAAACAATTAACCAGTGATCAACAATTAAAAGATGGAGAAAAAGTACCATTAAATATAAAAGAAATGGGTAGTTGTGAAATATATCCTCAAACATTATCACATTCACCAAATGGACGGTAATATAATTTTAAAAAGAAAACAATAAAAAAAACAAATTTTTCCTCTTTTAGATTTATTGTTGTTTGTGGTGATGGTGAATATATTATTTATACAGCAATAACATTACGTAATAAAAGTTATGGTAATGCAATGGAATTTGTTTGGTCACAAGATTCATCGGAATACGCTGTACGTGATGGAAATATGGTTAAAATATTTAAAAATTTTAAAGAAAAAAAAACTTTTAAACCGGAAGCTGGTGCTGAAAATATTTTTGGTGGATCACTTTTAGGTGTTCGATCTTATTCAGGTTTAACATTTTATGATTGGGATACATTAAGTTTAATTCGACGTATTGAAATTGTTCCAAAAACTGTATGTTGTTTTTTAAGTTGTCATCTAGTCGAATGAATAGTTTGTCTGTTTGTTTTTGTTTTACAGATTTATTGGAGTCAAAATGGTGAATTAGCTTGTATTGCAACAGAAGAATCATATTATATTCTTCGTTATAGTCCTCAAGCTGTAGCAGCTGCTATGACAAATAGAGAGCTTGTATCCGAAGATGGAATTGAAGATGCATTTGATGTAAGTTTCTATAATAAGATTTTCTATAATTTTTTTAGAAAAGTTTTTTTCTTTGGTCGATTTTTAATCTTAAAATGTCAATAATTCAAAATTTTGAGCAAACATTGTCTTTTGTTTTTGATGTTCTCTTGCCGTGGTTGGATAGAGGGCGTCGTAAGTCAATTTTAACAATGTTGTTTTTTTCACGTCTTCAGACAATGTTTTTGTAGTAAAAATTAAGTTAATAAGAAATTGAAAATTACTATAAAAATAAAAATGTGCCAAAAGCATTAAGGGGGAGACCCCCCTCAGAAACGATTTTCCACTTTTGACGGTTCTTTCATGCTGAAATTTTCAGGGATGACTGATCTTGGAGAGATACGCTTCTGGTAAAAATTTCAGCTCGATTGGTCATACTAGACCGCATTTCCAGCTGATTCATGGGTCATTTTTGGCCTTCAGGAAAATCGGTATAACTCCGTCATAAGAAAAGCTAGAGAGCTCGGGCTGGTTTCAAATTAAAGTACATGCCAGTACGCAATTTTTATCCGAACAGAATTTTGATATTCAGTCCTATTCATTTTTTATGAGCATTTTAGTGCGAGGGTCTTAAAATTAGCAGAAAAATGGTAGTCCAACGACAGTAAATTCCACTTTTCTCAGCCTAGGAACCAACTTTCAAAAATCCGTTCGAACAAAAGTTTACTCTAATCCATAGCTTTAAAACAAAAAAAAATATTGAATAATACCCAGGGCCGGGACGGAGTGATTCCAATTTTCCTGCTAAGAAACCGTATTCTGAGAAAAGCGCCAAAGAAGTTTTAGAGATGGAGTTTTCATTCAAATGCAGGAAATAATGGTATATTGATAATATTTATATGGAATTTTTGAAAGCACGCAATGGATGGCGTAAGCTATCACTACAGGGCGTACTATATGATATAAGAATGTTTATTCCATTATGATAGAAGTAAAAAAGTAGTCTTCCCAAAAATAACAAAAACCGCGAAAATCTCTCCGAAAACCGGGTACTGAGGTGGAAATCTCCTATGAAGGTCTATAAAAATTTGACCTTTTTTTAAAAATTTGTATATATTCTGGAAGAGGAAACTTCGCTGCATCTTTTTATGATAAAAACTCGACTTCGATTACTTTTCCAAACAATGGATTTTCTGAGGGGGGGGGGGGGGGGGCTTAATGATTACATCAATTCTTCGATTCAAATCACGAAAAGAATATGTACATTTTCATCATTTTGTTAGGCATTCATTTTTCTGATGTCCGTAACGATTAATATCAAAGTATTTGTTTTCTTCTTTGAGATACCATTAATATCATATGCAAACAATCCCTGAAAAAAAATTAAAAGCGATATTAGCTTACGGATTCAACTAAATGTGTGCCTCTTTTTTTATATTCGCTTGTTCTGTTCAAACAACAATAACAAGGCACTAAATAAAAACCAACAATACCAAGAAGCAAAAAAAGACAGTTAATTTATTTTTGCCTGAATATATATAGAATTTGACTACATGAAGAGTGATATTATCGTATGAAAGAGAGGTACACTGATGAAAATAATAGTTTATTTCAAAATGGCATATGAGATGTGTGACGGAAACAAATAAGCTACAAATGATGTTGGTTGTACTAATTTGTTTGCTTCGGATAAAATTATTTATAAGTTAATAAGTAAACAATAAGCTGGAGGCGTCACAGATGAACAAATGAATGTTTTTGGTTTTTGTAAATAATGTAGTTGAAAAAATGGTGTTGCATCTTCAAGCACAGAGGAAACCTTTTTTTTATCAAATTCGATCTACTTTTAATGCGTAAGATCAGTCACAATATCATGAAAAAAAGTCTTCTCATATTCAATAAGATTTAAGTCAGATATTGACGATATGCTGGTAACGTGATTCAGAAGAATTACTCTCAAAACAAGTGTAAATTATTGAAGCACAGACAGTCTGCCGAATTAAACTTCAACAATGAAGTGACTTCTGCATAGGTGAAAAAGTATTTGCTCAATGCACATTAGTCAACCATGCCTTGATTGAAAAAGAAATACAATTACTTAATGCCATGAGAAATGAGGTTCTCTAGTAGTTTTATTTATCTGATAGATTTTTTATCAATGATAATGTTGAATAAAATGCATATTTGTACTAGCTTCTTGACCCAAATCAACTTTGAATACTTCAAGGTATTTTCATTATCTTGCATGTTCGCTGATATAACGTCCATAATGCTTAATACCAAAATATTTACTTTCTTTTTTTCATGCACAATACGTGTAATGTGAGAACTATATTCAGAAAAAAAGGTGATTATCTGAATTCAATATTTTCTTTACGATTTAATTGCATAATATAATTCCATGTCTCCACTAAATATTTGCTATGCTGAGCGAAGTACAATGATATATATGTGAGAGAAACATTACCATATCCATTAGAGAATTAAGAACAAGTAAAAAAGGTAATTACTTCATTTGTCTTTAGTACAGACTGAATTCGACAACTCGAGATTTCATGATATCGAATCAAAGGAATACAAAAATAATGATCGTCGAGTTGATCAACAAGATGGTGGTTGGACTTCTTCTTGCTGGCCTTCTTGCTGCAATACTCATCATTCTTGTCATACGACTGTCGACGAACAGTAACAGCCCATCACAATCACAGGTATGCAACAAATTGTACAGCATCTCTTTATATGAAATATTTTTACATATCTTCTTAACTAATATATGTATAATGATTGATGGATTATTTAAATAGACTGCTGTTGCCATGCTGGTTCAATCAAATGAACACATAGGTCAACTTCAACGTGAACATGAACAACATCTTCTGAAAGAACAACAATCAACGCAATGGAATTTCACATTAGAATTAACAAAACGAGCAGAGTACTTCAGTGAAAAACAACGAAAAGAAGATCGTGATTGGAATCAATTAAATGCTGAATTGAATCGAAATCTCACTGCAACACATCATCAAAAAGAGTTCGAATTTCGTGAGACAGTCGAACTCGTTGCCCAACGAGTTATAGCTCAAGAAAGACAACAACATGAATGGATATTGGAACAATATCGTTCTCAACGAATAGAAGAACATCACCGGCAAGAACAATTTCGTCAGGATGAGCATGATCTTGATAAATTTCTCGATGCATACAATTTAACTCGTGAATCTATGCCACTGCTTCAACGAAAAGTGTTGAGTTTATTACGTCGATTCGGTATTCCACACAAAACTCTTCTCATTCAAATTCTCAACGATGCAAATCTTCTTCGAGATAACGATACTGATCTTCCAGGACGACGAATTAGTTTGGCAGGAGTCAATTTGAATGGAATTCAACTGGGAAGCAAAGATGAAAGTCAGTTAAGAAAAATATATCATAGAGTTCGGTGTAATATCTGCTACAAAAACATAAGTATAAGAAATAGTAATTTCAACGAACGGGCGATAGACACTGAAATGCTTGACATCTTTCTCAATTTTTTTTTCTTGGAACAGTACATTCATACTATAGAATGTGTGAAAAAGATTTTCCGAGATTTCGTAATGATCAATATCATAGAACCATCGTATGTATACAATGATTCCCTTCAGAACGTGTAGCAATCTTCTTTGGAAAAAATACTTTGCATTCTATTTCATCTAAATAATTATTTTCTATTTCTATTCTAGGTTTTTGTCCCAGTCAGTATTTTGATCAACTTGATCTTAACCACGCCACACTAATTGGTGCGTCTTTTGATTGTCTGTCACTTCGTAATACATCTTTCAAATCGACCAATCTGACTGATGCTTCTCTCACTCGTTCCGATATTCGTGACAGCAGGTTCTCTAGTGCTAAACTTCATAATACCAGTTTTCAGGAAGCCAACTTGGACGGAGGCGTCTTCAACCTTGGCTCACTTGTTGGTGCCAATTTTCGACAAGCTTCACTTATTAATGTGAGCCTAACCTTCGCTGACGCTATTGAGACTGACTTTAGTGAAGCCAACCTCTACAAAGCTGTCCTCTCATATTTTCAATCGAATGGAGTCAATTTCGAGCGTGCCAATCTTCATAAAGCGAAATTGGAAGGTGCAACATTGGTACATGCTAACTTTTATCAAGCTAAAGGTGCTGAGAATAACTTTCGGGTTACCAATATAACGGATGCTATCTTTCGACAGGCACACTTTATTCAGTCCAATTTTTACGGAGCCGAAGGTAATCGAACTGACTTCTCAAAGGCCATTCTTGATGACAGTGAATTTCTCAATGTCAAATTGGAAGAAGCTATTTTCGAAGATGCCAGTATGGCTAGAGTCAGTATGCAAACGGCTCAGTTAGTTCGGAGTAACTTTCATGGTGCTTCACTCGGCCAATCGACGCTTTCTTTTGCAACATTCAACAAGAGCAATTTCTCTAATGCAATTCTAGATGATAGCATCCTTGCTGCTATTCGTGTTTATAACACTACCTTTGAAAATGCTAGCATGAACAGAGTCCAGCTAGCCTCTGGCACATTCATCAATTGCAATTTTCGTCGTGCCTCATTTATCGAAGCTAGTTTCTCTATAGCTGACTTGACCGGATCCGATTTTTCCGAAAGTAATCTCAATGAATCAAAATTTCTCTTAGAAAGTCAACTCAATCAAGTCTTCTCCATATCCAAGGCCATTTTACCCGATGGATCGATCGGCAAGAATAAAAATCTCATTCGAAACGGAAATCCAACATGTGATGAGTCAATGATAATGAATATTTCCCAATGGACAGTACCTGTTCAAGGATCAATTATTATTATGCCGCAAGTTAATGATGGTAATTGTGTCTTTCAAGCGACAACATCGAATATCACTCACCTGATTCAATCAGTCGATGTCAGTCATTATGTGAAACGAATGATGAATGCCGGTTTGACATATGTCTTGCTCGAAGCTGATATCATCACGAATAATATCAATGTTAATCTTCGTTTCTTCAATTCAACCGACAATCTCATCGATGAAGGTATTCATGACCTTGTAGTTTCATTTTGAACTCTATTCCTAGTCTAAGAAAGCTCTTTGTAATAGATTTATTCAAATTGTGCAATGTTGAAAAGCTCATGTGATAAAGTCGTCTCTCAGTCTGAAATTTTCTATCATTTTCTTTTGCAATACAAAAAGTTGATTGTTCTATCATAGTCAATCATCTGAAGTAACATGTTCAAATAATTGAATGAATGGTTACATTTGCACTATCGCCTATATTTTTCCATTGAAATTTTTAGTTCGGAGAACCATTTGCAGTAAAAATTCACTTTGTCTCAGTGATCTATATGAATATGATAATGCCATGCTTTGTCAACCATAGTCG